GAACGTGTACGTGTGCGCTGAATTAATTATGAGCTAGCTTCACGAGATGTCGTCTTTGAAAGAGTTAGGTTACGTTGGAGATTACAGTTGATATAGACTGTGCTTATTTACACTTGTAAATTGGTAAGATATGTAAGTCACAAATCCTATACCTACCTATAAGTAGGTAGTTATTTGCATGTGGGTGGATATACAGGATGCATTAAAGTTAGCTATACAGGGTGCCCCGCAACAATGCTGCGGTGTGTTGTGAGAACGGTGGGTTTGCTTATTTAAGATAACTTACCTTCGTGTGTAGGTAGGTAAATGTCGTGAGAAACCTAGTACATGTACTTAGGTTATAGTTGTCTATTGTCAGCCTAAAAATCTATGGTAAATCTATCAATTTACCTAAGTACCTTTGTACATATTCAGTCAAAGTCGATCAAAAGAGTTAGTTATCGTAGGAAAGTTTTGGTATACGCACCTACCATTACTTTCAAAGCTCTGCGGCCTTGACCAACATAAACAAAAACTTCGGTCAAGGTTGAACGTAAGTTTTTTTATTACCATATGAGTTTATACCCAAATGTGTTGAAAGCTTAGCTTAGCTACATACATATACCTACGTAACTCTTAAAATGAAGCCAATAAATTAGGGTTCTTTTCAGGGGCGTTTTTCAGCCACTATTTGTTATAAAGGTATTCAAATAGATTATAGTTGAATTAACTTAACTATATAATAATCAACAACGAAAATATTAAATTGAATTATTTTTTATGTTTAACGAATAAGGGATAATTTTTCAATAGTCAGATAAATGTTATCTGAGTAATAAAATTGTTGCTGTCACTACATTATAAAAACATTCTGATGTCACAGCATCATAATTGTTCCCCAGGTAACTTATATCTAACCATTGAAAAATCAGCCGTCAATCATATAACTGTTTGACGAGGAAATTGACTAGTTTCAAGCTACGCTCAGGGCTCATATTCATGAGCAACATTGCGCTACACACGACATGGCGAATATGGTGCAACTAACTAGTCCGTTAAAGAAAAGAATCCATTAACTTTCCCTCACAAAAGTTATGACACGAAAATTAAAGTTTATCTACTTGGCATTAAAAGTTTTTAGTAAACTTGTACAGTGATTCCCCAATTAGTACTTGATCGGTTTTTATTTAATCAACATGTCGATCTTCGACCACCGTGAGCAAGGATAGCTGGCCGCCCAAATAACCAGACCATTCAACTCAAAGAGCCATTAGCCCACCACAGATGAGCCCGACAGAGCCGATGTTGAGCGAGAGGAACTGGGAAGCCGTCTACTCTTTCTGCGAAGCAGTGAAGCGGAGCGTGTGAGGGAACTATCCTCCTCGCGCCCCACAGCCACAAACGGCCCTATAGGGCTGATGTTCAGCCGGGGTTGCGGGTTAAGCGCAATGAACAACCGCGGCCTCGGCCCAGAGCAGGAGAAGGAACGTTTTTAGTCAGTTAGAGTCTGACACTCTCTCACGCCTAACCCTGGGCGTGAGAAGTCATTTGATGATTTACCCCTGACAAAAAAAGGGCCGATGTTTAGACGGTTTTGCAAGGCAAACACTGTATGTTCGTATGCCGTTATGTTACACCAGCTGCCACTACTTATGAGGCACTGTTCTCATTTTATATAATCCTTTTTTGAGTGAGAAAAAACAAAATTACTTTTCACGCCCGCTAGTGGGAGGGAGTGTCAGATGAATACTGACTAACTTACACATTCCATCTCCTACTTCGGGTCGGGGCCACGGTACATAATTGCGATTTCAACCCGCAACTCCGGTTCATATAACCCCTACATTTCCATTTTACTAACACCTAACGAGCGTTATTATTAAGTACCTACTTCTGAAATAACCCTTATCTGACTTGTCATTATATTTAATTACATCGTTCCCCTTACATTTTACTTGCCTACTAAGTAATTGTTAGTATTACCTGTAGCTATTGTAGCCTACTTAGGTACTTTCCTAGAATTCCTAGCCATGTTTTGTGGACGAAATTCTTGTTGTTTGGTGTGTTATAATATGACCCTTAGATAATGTACGGGTTTCATGCAAAGAGAATATAACCACTACGTTTAGTTTCATGCTTAGGTTCATACTATTCTTGGTAGTATTGTAAATAAGAACCCTTGTTTTTTTTTTCTTTCACAACCCCAAGGAGGTTTTTATTGTAGGTATGTATTATAGCATAAGAAAGAGACAAGAAGTGATTTAAGTTTTTATCGTATTTACCGTACCAACTTTACTGCTTCACAACGCCTTACTACAACATATATTTTGGGTTGTAATCGAAATGAGAGTTAAACATTCCTTTAGATTATTCTGATAGAAAAAAAAATTCGGACCCATTTATTTTTATTATTTTACCTGGACTGGAAAATGTTGCACTTTCCAATATTACACCAGAAAAAGTGTTGTGAAAACGAGGAACCCGTTCGCTATAGGTTTTATTGTCCTGTCTCGAGTCTAGCTGGAGTCGGACTAGAGTGGCCCTAACCAATTTTCTATTACATTGGCCGTAACAAGCGAAACTTTCGTTGCTACTCTAAAAGATTAGGATCTGTAAAATACATGAAGTAGGTAGGTACCTACATAGACTACATCGGGTTGGTACTTGCTTCATTGTTACTATCTTTCTAACTAGCGGATCAAAAGATAATGCCTAAGTAGTTTTTATCGGATTCCATGCCGTCTTGCATTAGGTGCTTGGGTTTATCGCTGACTAATTTAGGTAATACAATACTTACTGAATAAAAATAAAGGTTACGATGCTTAGACCATTTTGGTACTTATGTTCGTGAAATAATAACATTAGTTTTTAGCGGCAGCTACTTCACGAACTACAGAGTTTTGAGCCCATTGCGCAGAATGCGAGTCTCGAATAAATTATAAATAAAACCATAATTGTTTTTTTTACTCTCTGATAGAGTCTTCAAGTTTGGGCCCACTTAACAAAGGAGGTAGCTAACCTGTTAGGTGGGTTTTAAGTTTAGTTAGAGTACAATTACAAATTACTTACAAAGAATATAAAAGGTACCTACCTAGCAATTAATTCACATTGCATGACCTATGTTATGCATGCTCATTGTGACTACAAGTTTTTTAATGTTCTGATTTCGTGCAGCCATCTGTAAAAAGTTAGTTCTTGTAAATTGTAGTTAGCAACCAATTTTCGTAATGAAACAAAGCACGGACTCGACGGCGAAACTTGTCGTGAGTTAATAATATGCTATTTACCTTTTGTTGACTCAAAAGAGTTTTGGTAATGAATTATGACGAAAAAGAAGTCGGTTGAGAAAGTAAGTATTTAATTCATTAATAATAATTGTTATTTGTTGTCAAATTTCTCACAAATATTTTTTTTGCGAGGAAAATATCATCAAATGACTTCTCCCGCCCAGGGTCGGGCGAGAGGGAATGTCAGGCTCTTACTGACTAAAAACCCACCCGTTCCTTCTCCTGCTCTGGGCCGAGGCCGCGGTGACTCATTGCGCTTGCCCCGCAACCCCGGCTGAACATCAGCCCTATAGGGGTTAGTCTGTGGTGGTCTATTGGCTCTTTGAGGCCCGCTCAGAAGGCTACGCGGCGTTCGCTCGGGTCGGTCCGGCGGCGAGCTACCTACCCTTATTCGGCATAGATATTCATTAACAAGGTACATAGGTATAATTTAGCCACCGAGAAATTTCTAAAATCGTAGGTAGGTAGGTACCTACTTGTCTTTTTATTTTCAGAAACGTTTTAATCAGAACCTCAGTGTTTATAAATAAATCTGCTCATTTTAGGTAGGTAGTACAGGCAATCTGCATTTAACGTGCAACCAGTTCAAAATGTAGGTACTTGTTTACAGAAAAGCCTAATCACTTTAATAGTGTTGCGCGAAACTGCGATTAAAATAACTTGACAATCGATAAAACCTATTACATTTACTATTGCTGTAAATATCATTATAACGGGTAAAATAGTAAACACAATCTAGTCACTACACTACATGGGCCATCGAAAGCTTTTAATCCTATTACAACCTCGTACAGCTACACTGCCTATTAACAAATTTATTGCCGGTGTACCTATCCATTTGGGCTAGGTAAAGTAAAAGCTTTATTTTCTTGCAATTTAGTTCAGTATAGCCGCGTTTGATGTCGCGTATAATGTGTATTTTCAGTTATAACACGGTCAAAATATTTTGTCACAGTGTAATTTAGTGAGTTGCCGTGGTCACACGACAAAGCGGTAAATAGAATATATTTTAACAAAATACTTCGTCTAATCGTCAATCACTGTTCTTTTGTGTAATCGTGTCAGTATATGTCAACTGTGTGTTCAGTGTTATGTCTGGTGTCAATATATAATTTATAAAATATCAAACGTGTGTACTTACAACTGGAGGTAGGTACCTACCGAAATAAAACATAATCGACGAATTTTTTTTATTCTTGATTTTGTCACCATCACTCAAGTGCTTGGGTTACCTACTTTATTTTTTTAACATATGAACCTACGTACCTACTATATAAACTATAATGGTTGGGTATGCTAGCAAATTAATATTGTTACCAGGTTAAATTAAAGCGAACTAGAGCAGTAGTTATCAAGCATCGTTGTAATAACAATGTTCGAAACAGTTCTGCCCTGAATAGTTTTACGGTTGATACTAACCTAGTATTTAAAATGCACATGTACAATGCAGTGGTTGCCGACGTCATCTACTTTGCAGTAATATTTTTGCCACTAATGCGCCTGCACGGTTCGTAAAGGAACGCCAGGATACACAAAAATGCAGTGTAATACGTGTTGCTTTCGTGATTGCGATAGAAATTCTTTGTTCAGTGAACTTATTAGTTTAGTGTTAATTAATTTCTACCCTTTGATAACTTAGTGAAGAAATAATAATAATATTATGGTCAGTATAAGTTTAGTAAACTTTTAATAAAATAAATAAACGAGAATATTAATAATAAAACCGTCAAAAACGCTAAAACTTATTTACGTGCATTTAAATCAATCGATTGCATGAATTGCTGTAGTAGTAACAATACGTGGTGTCTTGTTTAATTGTCAACAATGTCAAAAATAAGTGGGTGCTTGGTGTAGTGTTTTGAAACGTTACGTCAGATAATCTAATAAACAAAGTTTCTTTGTGTAAAAACTTAGCCTTATTAGTTTCGTATTGTTTTGTGTTAGTTATGAATTGATAGGAATCATATTACTCATTAATCATGGGCTACTTAATTTCTTTTGTTAAATACATGTTGGAATATTTTAAGGTTAGTCGGCTACTGTACTACATTATTAAATCAAAATACTCACTTTTTTTTATTAAACAGCAAAGTAGTAATTTATTTGTCAATTTATAGTCTACTGGGTATTGCGTGATTACTAGTAGTGGATACTGGTTGGATTTTACCATCCAAAATTTTTATAAAACGAATTTTTAGCGCGACTTTCGTATTTTAAAATAATTTTATTCTTTTTTGTAGACTGTGCTTGAATCTGGGAGTGTGGGGAACGCGTCGTCGTCTGATGAAGAACTGGAGCAGTGGGAACAAATATTCATGATGCGAGATGAAAACGGAAACAGTTATAATGACAAGTAAGAACTCTTTGCTTTCTCTTTACTTTTTCTAATAAATAATAAATAAAAAGTGCATTTATTTTCCACGACTAATGTAGGAACAGTTTGGACAGTATATAACCATTCAAGGATGGACTGACTAACTATGGAATTAATAATTTTCATATAATACTTACTCAGTTTTTTGCTTAAATAAACCTAAATAAGATTTTTGTTAAAATTATTAGGTAATCTAAGTTTAACTTAGCAGCAGTAAGTTAAAATAACTTTTTCTTTAGTTAAATGTTCCACATTGCAATAATTATAACATGAAAACAGTTATATAATTTTACAGAGATTATGCTGAAAGTTTAACATATGGCTAAAAGTAGTATGCATCAAATGGCCGCTTTATGTACCAATGATTTTCATTTTAAGTACACAATAGTCAAAATTAAATTAAAAATAGATAACTTTTTAAAATAAATTTTCTAAATTCTGTATTCTTTTCTAGATTACATTATGCTTATCAAAATGGCACTTGGCTTCCTGTCTTTATACTCTTTCTTTGGTTTCAGAAGAAAAAAAAGAAGTATATGGTGTCGTCCCTCATGCATCCCAGTGTCAATAGTAATAGTTTTAATTGTATTGGTAGTGTTGGTACCACTGCTTGACCAACCTAACATAGTGCAGATGAACGCTACCATAGCTGCTGTTTCTTTACATTGCTCAGATGAGTGTAGGTAAGTACTAACTAGGTCTATTCTATGATATTTATAAATCTCAGCTTGTAGTACTCATTAACCTTTCAATATTGTGGTAATTAGAGATTAAATAGAAGAACAATATGTGCGCGAACACTGGTGTTTGCAAGGGGTTTAATGAATAATATTGTACCTTTTTTAAGAATCATTCCTCTGATGAAAATTCATTAAAAGTCAGTTATTTATGTATACGATTTAATTTCATTCACCATAATACTTAATTGATTTAATTTTTCCTATGTTTCCCATGCCAATAGGAGTCATTATTTTATTATAGGTTTTTAGAACTTTGCAAAAAATACTTCCAAGGTGATTGGTTAAGTCTCTGGAATATGAATAAGTTTGCCTTCATTGAAAAGGGACCACGAAAATTTGCCGCAACTACTTAACAGTAGATACCCTACATCAAAAAAAAATAAAATCATTTCAAACAGTTTATTAAAATACTCAAGTCAAACAAATTTAAACCTTAACACATTGATTTACAGCTAAATTTTCGTCAATTTGAGTTTTACCACACTTAATTATATTTTTCTAACATAATGATAGAGTGAACCAGAGTGACTTTTAGGTATTGTGATTAATAGCGTTTTTTTTTCAGGTTATCATTAGTTGAAAGTATACCAGAAGGTCATATGTACCCTCCGAATGTGACGCATTTACCTACGAAAAATGTGTGGTTAGACTTAATAGATGAAGCTCAAACCAAGATAGAAATAGCGTCATTTTATTGGTCTCTTAGATATAATGAAGAATATCCATATAATACCTCTATAGAGGTTTGTATTACATTCTATATTTAAAATAAAAAAAATATCAAACCTTTTTGCAGGTCCTGTTTTAATTTCTTTCCTTTTTATTTCTAGGGTGAGCAAGTGTTCCAAGCTTTATATGCTGCCGGTTCAAAGAGAAATATAGATTTAAAAATTGCTCAAAATTGGCCTAGTAAACAATATCCTAATGTAGATACAGAATATTTAGTTAAGAAGAAAGCTGCACAGGTATGTAACAAAACAAATATTAGTTAATAAAAAAATTTCAATATAGTGAATGCCAATTAATTATGAGTTTTCTATTATTGACCAGGTGCGGAGTTTGAACTTTTCAAAATTACTTGGGAATGGTATATTACACACCAAGTTCTGGATCATAGATAGAAAGCACTTTTATATTGGCAGTGCCAACATGGACTGGAGGTCACTGACACAGGTAAGCATTTAAACAATCTAAAATGCTCAAATACTACTAATACTACTTATAAGAATTTCACCACAAAAAAGTGTAATCCCGCTATTCCCTCTACCAGGCCCCTTAAGCGATTTTTTTTTTGTTTTTTACTCATCTTCTATTTTGTATATAGGAAATGCTGATTGATTTAACAAAGAATCTGTATGTGAAAATGATTGAAAAAGAGTAACCATGGAGTTTCTTGCTTGTTTTTCTCCATCGGAATCTACATTCTGGAACAAGTAAATAGCTTCAATACTGAGGACTGATTGACGGACTGACACTTATTAAGCTTTGTTTGACAATCAAAAATGCCTGTAAGAGTCTAAATGACAATGATTATTTTACCTTTTTGATTGCTTATAAACAGATAAGATGCATTTTCTTGTTTACTCATCCATCATTCACCCATCTTAACCGTTCTTTCCATTTTTATATGTTATCATTAAACCTTTTGTTCAGGTCAAGGAGCTGGGTATAGTTGCCTTCAATTGTTCCTGTCTTGCTCACGACCTGGGAAAGGTGTTTGATGTAAGTACTTACATATAAGTTAAAGATATCTTATGTTCCTATAAACATACATATACAAACTTGTCCATAATTATAATAATTATTTACATTGAATTTACATTGTGAATTTGTTATTGAAATGAATTGTGAGACTGATTGAAAATGTTTAACCATCGAGTTTCTTGCTCGTTATTCTCCATAGGAATCTACACGAACTAGCAAATAGCTTCAATAGACGACGCACCGGCAGGCTAGTTTTTTGATATTTTTTTTTCTTAATGTCTTAATAAATGATTTAACTGAGAAAAAAACTAAAATATTTACATAAAAGAAAGAAAGCGCTTCGGTACGCTTCATGCCGGTCTGGTAAAAAGCTCATAAATATCTGACATTCCTGACAAAGAAAAATGAATTAATACCGTGTTGGGATTAAAATTAATTACACTGTTTCGATATTTATCAGCTATTTTCGTCGGAGGAATATAACAGTTCTGCTTAACTAAGCTCGCTTTACTCATGAAGCGAAAGGTTTTAATTAGCGCGACCCGCCAACGTGGCGTGTTAATATTTCATAGCTTAGTATTTGTACCTTTGTTGATTAAATATTAAAATTTGTCGTTATTTCTTACTTCGTGAAATATTCAGTCGTTAGCTTGGGTACAGACAAGAATGATTTGACTTGATGAAAGATTTTAATTAAATTTTGTTTTCCATATCGACGTCATTGCAAGATGTTGTTGGATCTTCATCAATCCTTTGTTTTTACAAAAAATAAAGTCAAAATCCCTGTAAATATTTAAAGATTAAAAGTATAAGTTATAATATGCATATATGTAAGTCTGCTTCACCGAGACTGTTTTCGACCAATAATGGACAGGATTTCAATCCACCCAGTTGAAGGTCGTTATCACTTTATCTTTTTTTAACTGTTTCTGAGCATATATATCTATGCTATTTGTCTCTCTCCAACAGTCCACCATTCGTTTGAAAGAGGTAAACATATAAATAAATTCCTTCTCCTTTGTAAGAAGAAAGGTAAAAATTCGTGTTTTGCTAAAATACTTGCGTTGTTTACCGGAGCCTAAATCATCCAACCTTAGGATTTGAAGACATTAAAAAAAACGGCAATGTACTTGCTGGGTGACGGTTTTGCGGGTGTTCATAAGAACCGGTGGCTTACCATCTAGTAACTAAATATATATTTGCCGAAAAATCCCTTCAAAAATAACCATACATGTAGAAGCACGTGAGATTAAGAAACAATCTCTAAGAAAACCTCAACCTTTTAAACTCCGATCTCCTACCCCACCATGCGTAGGCAAAACTTTTATGTAGTGTAGATATACGCCTACATTCAAACACTGAAATGTGCATGTTTAATTGATGTGAAACGTCATCTGTTTTGAAAGATATACATATCTAAAGACATGCAATATATAGCTAGTATCACAGAAATAGATACATAAATACGGAAGTAAATAATGGCATCGTGATCGACCGTGAAAGTACAATATAACCCTCAGTTACAGTGTCACTGCCAAGTGCGGGGACAGACCTTGTGTAGCTCGGATGGCGTATACGAGTATTAAGTGCAACCAATGCAGAGTACAATATTAAATATATGGTAACCTTGTTTGTTATGATCGCTAACATTTTTAATTAATTTACAAACTATATATCATTTATTTTTAATAAACACAACATTATCTGGAATTGTGCCTGATGAATGGGAATAGGTTCACGCACGCTCTATAATACATGGACTGTGTAAAAAGTAATTGTACATTTAATATAAGGCATAATGCTTACCACTTCGTTGATAAAAACCATATGACGGTATAAAAAAAACTTTCTTTTTTTTTTATTTTCCTTAATAACATTTTGGTGACTGGCACCGTACCATGTTTTTACTTGTAAAGGGCAAAGGTTTGGTTTTTAGTTTCCTATTGGTATAGTCCCTTGCTTATGTCGTTCAAAATAATGTGCTAGACTAAAAAGATATAATGTAGTTTTAGGTTTTAAATTAGCTGCTTAAACATTTTGATAAATAATTATAGAAAAAAACAACAGGTCTCGGTTTCCATCGCTACATTTGTCTTTTTCTCATAAAATGTGTTCTTTTAATAAAATAGTATTTATATAGTTTTACCCGATGATGATGATTGAAGATAATTTTCGCGCTAAAAGGTTAGTCAGCACTCCGTCGACGTACGACGCATAGTATCGTACGTAACCATGGCAACCATGTAATCATTTCGAAAGCCCATCTTGTTGAATTACGTACTTATTGTGACGTCACATTCGCCGTGACATTATTTACGACTTCCCTATAGCGATCCTAAAAATAATAAAACTTATATTCTAAACTACCTATATATGTAAGTTTTTGGTACGAATAATTAACTGAAAATGTATTGTTAATGTTTTCGCTTCTGCTATATTTTCCTATACTTTTCAAATAGTCGATTATCACATGTTTTGGTGAGCAAGTCCGACAAAATAAGTATTAAATATCATTACATTTCAGTCCACAAACTACAATATAGTGTATGCTACTTTGATAGTTTATCGCATAACAAAAAATATTATTAGGTACATAATCTTTTTTAAAACAACATAGGTACTAATCATAAAAGTTTGTTGTTTTCATTTTTTTGTTTAATATTATAATAATGAACTGAATTGCTGATTTTACTGAGCGATTCTATGAAGATATTAGATAGCACACGTCAAACACCAGAAATATCTTCATAAACCTTCAAAATCAGTTTTCCTTTCAACGAAATAGTAGACAACCGGGCTTATAATCTTCGAAAGTTTCAACTTTGCAAGCCAGTGATTGTCAAAGTTGGTCGCTACCGCTAACTACCGGCTGGTACGGGGTATCACGCTCAGTTACTGTCACAACTTTATGTTAACACGTGAAACGCTGAACAGTTAATGGGCGGGCTAAAGTTTTTAAGGAAGGTCGTTGGAAGGCCGACTTTTACTTAAGATGCTTCGCCATCGTTGCTTTATCAGTTTAAATAATTTTATGTACTTACCTACCTACAAAATTTAGCTTTCAATTTTGATCGTTCGACGTTGCTTTCGTTCGGATTTTATTTATTTTATTAACTTACCGGTTAAATGTTTGATTTCCATAAAATCGTTGTGAGGCTTAAGATACATATAGAGTTCATCTAAATATGGATTTTCCTTAATTACGCTTTCAGTTATTATGTATCTTACTTATTTGTCGGCACAAACTTATCTAATTTATAAATTAAGATGTTTGCCTTGCTAAGCTATTTTGTTTTGTACCTAATTGATTGTTATGTTGATCGCATTACGACTTGTACACCCGGTTATAATGTATGCAAACAGCTGAAGGATTTGTCCGTTGTTGTCCGTTGGCGTGCTACTAGAGAGACCTATGCCCAGGAAAATCTTAAAACACATGTCACATTCTCTTATTTCCTTCCCTTTAATGATGAACTGAGATCTACTTAGTACTACCTACTTTCAACTATACCACAGGTAGTGTCTGAGGTTTGATCGCCGCATCTTTTCGCCATCGTTCCACGCGAAAACATTTGATCCCCATCACATAAATATATAGTTGGTTGTATTTCGGCTGTGGTATTTCTGAACCGATTCGATCTTCAAAGCTTCCAGAAACAAGCGTATTCCTTATGAAAGACCGACAACATCCCTGTAGCTCTTCTAGTGTCCCAGGTGTCCATGGGCGGCGTAGATCACTTACCGTCACGTGACCCATAGACTCGTTTGCCTCCAATTCCATAAAAAAAATATTTTTTACCTTTTTTCTAGGTATACTGGAGCCTGGGCACGCCAGACGCAGTGGTCCCCGACAGCTGGCCTGCAGAGCTGAATACAGACATTAATATGGAACATCCCATCAACATATCAGACGCTCAACATAGTTATGGCGCCTACATCACTGTAAGTAGTCTTTTTTTATTTTTATAATATGTCTAGTAGTAACTACTAAACGTTTAAAAATTATTGGAAAAAAGATGTTTTGGTAATTGTAATAAGTAAAACTTATTTTTTTACGTGATATTTCCCTGTAACTGAATAAATACAACACTTACACAAGGCTCATTATGTTTAGTTGTTTAATTTACATATATCAATGCATCTTCTATTGGTAATCCAAATAAATAAGTTGGTAATAATTATACTTAGATTTTCGTTATTAGAATTTAATGTATTTTGTATCCGTTCTGCCTGGCCATGATCTATCTATCTATACCTACGAATGTAAAATTTATAAAATGAACGAATTGGTAGAAAGACAAAATCTTTCCGACCATGAAGCTAAACAATTTCTTATGACTTACGTATAAGCCATAAATAAATGTATCAGCGTTTCTTGTTTCATGTCATAATAATCCTGACAGCGCCATTTAGGACGAGACGACGCCTATCACCAATAAAAGTGTATGTTGTAAAAGATCGTAATATTTTATCTGTCGTTAAAGCTAGACGGAATGGCGTTGGATCGTTTTAAATTGGCAATATGGCGAGTGCTGTGGTCATTCCATTTAAGGCTTTTATGGCTACCATCCGGTAACCTTGATAGGCTATAGTGGAGGAAAGCACTGCTTCCTCTTGCATTCAGGTCGGAATGGATTGCGGGGCTTGGCAAATGGAGCTTTTGTTTATGTATTCCAACGATATTCAGGTTACAAGCATTACCTAATAATATCGAAAAATATTTGCTGAAATAAAAGGTTACAAGAATATAAAAGCCTCTTTTTTCGTAAGGTAACTTTAATTTGTTAAGTTTGCGCTAATACCTAAGTGTAGATAATGAAGTTGCTATAATTAACTGGTGAACTCCACCAAGTGATAATTAAAATTAAAAAAAAATATAGAGTTGAAAGTCACATTGAACTATGGCAACCAAAGAGTAACCTTGGTCGAGGCTGACTCAACGCCAACGTATCGGTGGAAATCAGACCTTTTTTCTTGTGTACCAAGCTGGTACTAGGTACACATCAAGATGACCTATCCAAGTCAACACAGGAATTGTCTAATGCATACATGTTTACATGCGTTAACGTTTGACATTTAAAGTTATGCTCACTTGATTGATCATGCTGTGCATTCATTAGCAACAATATTATAAAATGCTAGTTATCACTTCATACTAAAATAATATATTAATGGCTTTCAACTTTTTAACTAAATTAATTCATTCTTATCTAACTCGTTATCATAGTAACACATTAGCAATGGGTCATTATTGAAAACAGCATTATTGCAAAATATGTAAGCACATTTAAGCTACAACTGAGTTATTGAGTACACGTTAAAATGAGTGGTGTTATCTTAGCATTTTTGTATATAGGTGGAACGTTGATGACACCTGTGTGTGCAATAGCATTGTGGACGACTTGGTGCATCTTACCGAAATGGCGGACCCTTCACAACTACGTCGTTACACAACACACCACTATGGGAGCGTGGAATTTATTCTCTTTGGCTCTGGTTTATCCAGACGACATGACTATATTTATGTTGAGCTGGGATGTCTTCTTTCACGCGTCCATGAGTTGGTCACTAGCCTCTTCACTAATCGCCTACTTTAAACTAGTGCTGGTTCACACTGTGAAAATAAGTAATGAGAAGACAATAATCACTGTGTTCGCTTTTGGATTGACCATAGTTTCTGAAACTATTATTGTAGTAACTACACAAACAATTTACTTTTTAACCCTGCGACAAACTGCTCTTGTAGGATTATTTCCCTTGTATTTAATATTGATGATTAAAACACTCTTGTTTGTAAGTGTGATTTCATCCGTAATGTCGTGTTGTAAACGAAGCATGTCGCGACGAAAGTTTGGGCATGTGGTAGCGTTGGTCGGGGTAGCTTTAATATCTGATACTGGAACTATTGTGTGGGTATTTCTATTGTTATTCCTGGACGACAACATAATGGACGCCTGGTTTTATAACAGGTTGATTCCACAAGCATTATTTGTTCTGTTCAATCCTTCGACGCGTGCACATTGGAAAAGGCTTTGTAGTCGACGGAGGCGTATGAACCAAGTCGTTTAATTTTTTTAAATAGTATTTATTGTATCTTAGTTAATTTAATTGATTTACCAGTACCCATTACTTTGTCCAGCATGTAGCATCACATCAAACAAATTAACATGAAACGAATGTTAAACTAAACTCGGCTTAACGGACTGTTAAATTCCTATAAAAAGAAAGCAATTAATGGCATAAAATTCATTCCTCGTAGTCTTATATCGTACAAAATAATAAATTCCACATTCCGAGCTACAGCTTCGAAGGTGTGTTTAACAATAATGAAGAACGAACATAGTTGGGGTTCCTTAGGCTGGGTTAGTCCAACAGTATTGGAATGCGTGCTGTATAATTAGTGTGACGGCTTAACGGCGCGTGTGTATAATAGGGCTGCCAATGTTCGATGTTTATCACGGTAGGCGTGTCGGATAGTATTGTTTGGCGTTTGGCACTGGGTAGTGGGCACTGTTATATGGATCGATAGTCAGTACCTACCAGGTTTTTAAGGGTTTTGTGTCAGGTGCACTCTATAATCGTATGCTAACGTAGGTTTGTGTAATTATTGGTACCTACTTAGTTTGTGAATAAGTATTAAGTTTCTTATTTTGCTGCGGGAAGACTTTCCTCGCCTTGGCGTAGCTAGAGTACTAATTGTGAGACTCTTGCTGACCAACAACTGATTCGGGCGGAGGTCGTGGTGCATTATTGCCACATTAATCCGTAACCTCAATTGAACATCGGCCTTAATGAGCCTCATCTGTGGTGGTCTGACGGCTCCGAAGCACGCAAAATAGAGCTTTTTTAAAAAGTCTCGCCGTCTGGCCCCCGAGGTTACGTTGGTCGGAGATTGTTGCTCGATCCCCGACGCCCGAAGGGTCTTTTGGGCTGCGGTGTGAGGAGGATAGTTTCCTCACGCGGTCCGCCTCCTTTACCCAGTATGATTGTTTCGCAGAAAGAGGAGACGGCTTCCCTAGAGTAAGAATAATATTTACTGTATCTTTTTTACAAATTTATTTGTCTATCATCATTATATTAAAGAGACTTCCATTGTTAAAGATAGGCTTAACTTCCCAATCGGTCGGTTTGAAGCAACAAAAAATCAAATTCACAAATATTATTCTTCTATTGCAGAGTTCCCCACCACCGCTAAGTCCTGTTGGCCGCACTAACGATGATAACGCGATCGTCTCCATCATAGAGTCAGCTGAAGAGTTCGTGTACATCTCAGTAATGGATTACCAGCCTATGTGTGTGTTTACGCACAAGCTCACGTAAGTAGTAGTTGGATTATACAGAAATATTTATTTATTTTTAAAAGCAGTCTCACAGATTTTTTGATCTATAAGTATTCAGTGATTGATAAATTTGTGCCAGAATCGGTGTTTCAGTCTGCCGTAAAGGAAAGCCGTAATGATAAATGTACATATGTACGTTTTTAGTCTTTTTAGATACAATCCTATTAACAATCGTGGTTGTTGAAAATAGCACTACTTACTTACTAATTCTCCAGACCCCTAACACGACCTGTTTTATTATGAGCAGGGTAGCGGATCGCTAGAAAATAACAATATAAAATATGTATAAATGTATAAGAAAATGGTTATTATTAATTTTTAGGTTCTGGCCCGTCATTGATGATGCGATTCGGAAGGCGGCTCTCGAGAACAAAGTGAAGGTGAAATTGCTGATCAGTTGGTGGAAGCACTCCGCTCCTGCTGAAGATAACTTCTTGAGGTCACTCAGTGACCTGTCGCAGTCGTATCCGAGGGTCGACATACAAGTGGTGAGTTATTTTATAATGTAGGTAGCAAGCAGCAAGTGATCGACGAAACGCCTGATGCCATGGAATAGAACCTAAAAGTGCGTTTTCAACATGCATAACCTTAGTTATAAATTATTGGAAATTATGTTGGTCGTTGCTTGAGCCCATGGGCGGTGCAGATTGCTTTCCAACAGTGATGCGTTTACTCGTCTACTTAGCATTTGGCTTATACTCATATAATATGTGGCCCAGTTTTTGTATAGGTAACTATCAGAGACATGTAAAATTTACTGATAAGTAATTCACAATATATGATTTGTTAAAAGAGACCAAAAGCCCAGCAGTTATGAAAAACATCTAATATGAATTTTATAACAAATTTCCATTACAGAAACGCTTTGTAGTCCCGTCAACACCAGACCAAGAAAAGATTCCGTACGCGAGAGTCAACCACAACAAATACATGGTGACGGACCGGACAGCTTACATTGGCACGTCCAATTGGTCAGGGGATTACTTCACAACTACGGCTGGAGTCGCCTTCGTGTTCCAAGACCTAGCTGATGGCCTTCCACAGAACATGACCAAAGACATACGGAAAGAACTTCAAGAAGTCTTCGAAAGAGACTGGAACTCTCCTTATGCAGTTCCACTCAGGCGATTATAGCGTATAAGGTAGACTTTCTTATTAGGTCGTATAAGTTTTTAAAACGTCATTTTCATTGTCTTTGAAACTAAGGCCGGGATGTTTGATACGTCCAACGCACAATTGGTGAAAGAGCAATGTTGATTTTGTTTTAATTCTCATTAATAGCTCACCTCGAGTCCCAGAATTGTCTACAATGAACGCGGCTCTTATTACACGAGGCTTGTAAAATGAATGGTCATAGGTTATACCTTGCCTGTCCCTTCAGGATTTATAGAGCGTGTCCACAGAAGTTCCAATCACAAAATATCCCATTCTTAGATAAACGTCTTATGTCAATATCTTCCTTCTTGTTAAAAGTTTTGTCATGTGTGCTATAAGTTTGTGTGTGAATTTGATTCGAGATTATTCGTACTTACTTATATAAGGGTTACCGGTATTATTGTTTGTGATATTATTACTGTGTACTATGCCAATATTTTACTAGCTATTAACTTGTATATAAGGCATTCAAAGAATTTGTTAGTAGATTTTTCTATCTGTAAATTCATCCTAGTTTTACCCTTTTTCGTAGGTACTTTAAATAGATTATTCCTTATTTTCAAGTTTGTAGTTACCATTTAGAATGGAATAGGTATATCTTATAAGAATATTATAACTTTAATCAATAAAATTGTAGGATTCTGCATCGAGTATTAATAAATAATATAGTGAAATTTGGATTCTGTATGACTGTGCCTTCTTAGATTGTGGAAAGAATATATGAATAAATTCTTTGTGAGTATCAAAGTAGATTTTTATATCTTTTAGATTTACAAATAATGTAGGTTTAGGGGTGGACCTATTTATGTAAACTTTAGACTAACAACTGCGGATATTAAGGGTCCAAGTCGCAATTCTTAAAATTTTCATATTTTTTTTTTTAAATCATTACGTTGTAGGTTTTATACTTTGATTTTAATATTACGAAAAGTCATAAATTTATAGATCCACCACCTATGTAATATTATAATGTTTGTCTTTAAGAGTAGGAGCAATTAATTATTGTGAACAATTCAAAGATATTAATAATTTAATGTTATATACTTATCAATAACTCCATGTTAAATGAGAAATAAGATATAAAAATAGATTTCCGGTGTTTACATAATTATAAATATCGCCAAATAAATGTATTATGATTCAGTGACGGTGTAATTATTTTTATAAGAACATAGTAGCTATTAACTTATTTGGCAATTTAAGGTTCCATCTCCCTATCTTGTTTTAAAACCACTTGGGAAATTGCGAAAACTGACATGAAACAACATTTACGTTGCGTTTCGCCGTATGAGTGAGGTTACCGCTAGGTCTAATCCCCTCCCCCCATCTTCAATCCTCAAATTTCTAATAACCCACAAGAGGTGGGCAACGCACTCCTTTGGTATTACTAGTGTCCATGGGCGGCGCTGATTGCTTGCTCGTTTCCCAATTAATTGTCAATATTTAAATTTATAACATTTATTTTCAAAATTGGAATGTTTATACTTAGTAAAAAAGCATGGGCAGCAAATGACTCCATGACAATATCAATTAAGTACTGGTGAAAATGGTGAAATGTAGAATAAAAAGCAATACTTAATATAGAAAACTTTTTGTTTTTCTACCACTTACTACAAGGATTTAAATAAATACAAATAAACAGGTTTAAAGAACTTTAATTTAATACTAGCTTTATTTTAAAAAGGAATATTCTTAACATCACTGAATACTTGAAAAAGAAAATTGACCATACTCAGTAATGCTTAGAAAAAAATATATTATATTATAAAAACTTGAGAATTCAGAAAGCACTGCATTGACGTCGTTGCTGAAAGTCAGTACAAAAATATAAATTTTAATCAATGCAATTGTTTTCTGACATTTTGTACAGTTAGTCTCCGTGCTTAAATCTAATATAGACGAAAACAATGTCAACAATGTGTCTATAAAATAAATGTAACTAATAAACTTACAAATCATTAATTCCGAAATTATTCATAAAATAAACTAAAAGAAAATCAAATCCATTCAAATCTTCACATATATAAAGTAATAAACATTACTAGTTCTTTTCATAACCTTCAGTTGTAGCAACAAACTGAACAACGTTCATCCGAAATCTATTCGTAACATCCAATATTCAAATACATTTTATATCATTCAGCCCTTAAATGGTGGAGTAAAGAAAATATTTTAATAAAGATGAAAATAATCAGCATACAGAAATTGAGCATTAAATTAAAATATTTTAACGTGACACGCTTCTTACACTCAGAAGAGGTAAGAAGAGATGTGTACATTAACCCTCCGAAGGATGATAAAAGTTAAAATATTTTAATCAAATTCAAATGTCATGCACACGCGGGGTTTTGAAAACGTTCGACATTTAATAACCCATCCTTAAAGACATTCCTCACACATGGAACATTAATAGTTATCGTGAGCTTCGAGCAGAGGCGTAGCACTTATTTTCATTGAAACTGCATAGGAAATTCGTCCGTATCGTGTAGGTATAATAGTGCAATTTAGTATCTACGCATGTGTGGCGCTGTCCTCCACGAAGTCCCTGGCCTCATCCTGTGTGACGCACTCGACGTGTGAGACTTTGTTCCGGAACTTGACTCCGTAGAACTTGTGCGCGTGCTCCAGTAGTTCAGGTCGGAAAGTGGTCGTGATGAACTGAGCTGATGATGATAGCTCGTGGATCATGTTGGCTATAGCTTTACGGTGCTGCGCGTCTAGAGCCTGAAATTATAATGACGAAATGTTAGAGCCCATAGAGTGTACATGCTGCTCACTTTGAAACTACGAATAGAGTAATTAATCAATGGTATTCTAAAGCACCACTCAAATATTCTGAGTGATAGATTTTACATCGACTTTTGATGCATTACGGCAACTTATGATTTTTTTATGTCAGTATAAGTAGTTACAAAGCAAAATACCGAATAGGAACTAACCTGATCGATTTCGTCGAACAAGTAGAAGGGAGCAGGATCACACTTCTGTATAGCGAATATGAGAGCTAACGCCACGAGTGACTTCTGTCCACCGGACAGTTGGTTCATCTCTCGCATGTCGCCTTCGCCGCCAGTAAAGGATACTTTGATACCCACTCCCGTAAATGGATCTGCTTTTGCACGCTGAAATAGGTAAAACAATAGATATTAATAATTATACACGTGAATAAAAAGAATGATTAGTAGCCGACAATTCGAATAAAAAAATGCGATACTCCCGAATGACTCATTTGAATTATACACGCATATTTTCTTAACTAACGTTTAGTAGTAGTAGATAACTTAAAATATTTCAAGCGATTAAGATGTTACAGTCAGATTAAGATGTGTTAAATGATTGCTTTTAGAATCTCCGTGAAGAATTCTATAAGGTACTTATTTTTTGAGAAGGGAACATCTTCCAATGGCTTCTCTCGCCCAGGGTAAATAAAGAGGGGGTGTCAGACTCTTACTGACTAAACACCCCCCGTTCCTTCTCCTTCAGTAAGCCCGAGGTACCTTATTGCGCTTGACCCGCAACCCCGGCTAGTAGGTAGGTAGTAAGAGATGCGAATTGGGGAATATGGGCAAGATATAACATTTGCTTAGCATTGAAACTGGGTAGTACACAATATAAATCTAAACCAGATTTATTAATTAATTAATTTATAAAGATTAATTAATATGTGCAATCTAATCGCATGATTTATCTGTTTCAAATGCGAATCTTGAGAATTACACACGATCCCAAGCCCTAATTCTTCTCGCGTATATAAAACATAAACGTATAATAAAGTGTACGGTACTAGCAAATTTCAACACTTGAAAATACGAGCCATGTTGTCAATAATGCAGCTACTTTCAATATGTTATACCCTACCCATGTTTTCATAATATGGTTGCATGGCACTACATTCGGGTACTTATCGACATTACGTGCGATTAATGTTTTTTTTAATATTGTAATTTCACAGCTAAGTATATATTAAACAACAATTTCAACATAAAACCAAACTTAGGCAGTAACTTTTTTATTGTGGAATAGGAGGCAAACGAGCTGACTAATCGTCTGATGGCTAGCTGAGCAGCGCCGCATAAGCATGTTGCCAGCATTTTAAGAAAGAAAACGCTCGTTTTTGGAAATTTTTGCCGGTTCTTAAATAGCCCGAAAGATCATTTCTAAGTACTGTGCGAAAAAGAAAGTTTCACGAAAATCGTATTTATTGACTGCCAACCATCTATACATATGATGGGTATGGAAGTGTTGTCGCTAAGGTTTAAGGTTAGGATTTTAATTTATTAATAACTTGACCCTTAAGTTTACCACATGCTTATCTATACTAATATTATAAAGAGGTAAAATTTGTAAGTTTGTATGTAGGGGGTAATCTTTAGAACCGCTAGTCGCATTTCCAAAATTCTTTCACTGATAGATAGCTACAATGTTCCTGAGTGCTATAGGCTATAAAACATCACGCTACGACTAAATGGAGCTGAGCAGCGGGTGAAACCGCGCGAGAGTAGCTAGTATTATATATAAGTATTCTATTAGATAAGAAGTCCGGTACTGTTTTTGCAAAAATAAACACATATTACAGTAAAATATCGACTTACCTCAGTACTGGCCTCCTGTCCATCATCAGTAGCGACCCTCATGATGAGACTGCCTCTTCCTTGAGGCACCAGTTTCTTGAATACTTCCGTGAAGTTCTTACACACTTGTTGGAACGTGAACTGTATAGCTTCTAACTTTCTATGTTCTAATGTTTCTATGAGCTCACGGATTTTCTCACCTCTGTAAACAAACATTATTTTAAACAACATTAATCCAATTAATTATTTAGTTTTCGGCTTACTCACGTAATGATTTGACGAGATACTTGACTAGTTTCAAGCCATGCTAGAGCCCCATATTCATGAGCTGCATTCCGCGACACGCGAGTCTGCGACTGTCGCGCTGCTACAGGTGGTAGTAGCAGCGCGACAGTCGCCGAGTCGTGTGTCGTCGCCGTGGCAATTAATTTAGAATGTCTCACGAAAGTTATAATAAAAACATTTAACCACATTAATATTTTCTTCTGTGATGTAGTTGTTAATAAACACAAATAATACATTGTTCAGTGCCGGAATCAAACCTATGCCACGTTGTGTAACAGCCAGTCGCCTATCCATTGCGCCAACGTTGTAGTAGAGTCAGTTTTAACATGATTGAACTCTTTGATCGATTAGTCAAGTCCACAACTTCTAATATTGTATGGAGTCTCGATTCGATCTGCTTCGGACTATTGTATTGTCCATTTAGTATTTTAAGTCGGATTACATGGTTGTGGTATAAAACAAAGGAATAAATTTTCTCAGCTTTATTTTATAGTGTTTTTTTGCGACGTGAAATCTATGAAATGTTTTCTCGCGCCCAGATTGAGGCGAGAGCGGAGTGTCAGACTCTTACTGACTAACAACCCTTCCGTCCTTCTCCTACTCCAGGACGGGGCCGCGGGACCCAACTGATTTTATTGGTGGTTAGGATTTTTTCATCTAACTGTTCATCTAAATTCCAGCTGTGTGTTAGGAGTTCAAGTGTAAACAGTTGAAATTAACAAAACGAAACTAAGGTAATGGACGGTCTCTCCTAATGTCATTGTTGTGCGTAAATATTATCAGTATGTTGTACACATACTTGAAAAGTTATACACAAAGAAATAATTCCGACATATGTTGCTATTACGTATTATGGTCAATAAACTATATCTAAACTAATAAAAATCGCAAGTAAGATAATAATTTACTATATGAATTTATTTTAGAGTTTTTTATACATTACAGTCTGATAACACTTTTAATATATAGTTTATATATATCATAATTTTACATTTTAAATCAACGGCTTCTTGAGAACTTTTATTATACTAACTAGACGATTTTTCCAGAGCAGAAGTATTGGAGTTTATTGTCAATTAACAAACTATCCTCGAGCCACCAAACTAAATAAAACTGTGTCAAGATTATTAGGTAGCAATTAACAATGGGGTGAAGTTTAACAACAGGTGTAAGAACAATGATCATATATATATAAGAGAGCGCATTGTTTCACGTACATACGAGCCTCACTCGGCAACGATTATAAAATGTACATTTACTTATTATTATTATTAATCTGTAAAGTATCGAACGCCGCCTCGGTAGAGGATAGAGGCCTTTGGGATCTACTGGGTAGCATTTTGAATTATTCTAATAGTGCACTCGTTCCAGAGGATGCGAACCTATCAATTACCGAACTGGGGAATAAATATGGATATCATGTCGAACAACACACTGTGACTACCGAAGATGGATACATCTTAAATTTTCATAGAATACCGACACGAAGTAGAAAGGCCAGACCTGTGGTGTTCCTCATGCATGGCTTACTAGATAGTTCAGACACGTGGCTATTGCTGGGACCCAACAAGGCACTCGCGTATTTACTAGCAGATCTCGAGTTTGATGTTTGGTTGGGCAACAGTAGAGGAAATAAACATTGCCAAAACCATACTTCCTTGTACAATACAGATTCCGATTTCTGGCATTTTTCTTGGGAAGAGATCGCAGTGCACGATTTGCCAGCGATGATCGACTACATCCTTCAGGTCACCGGTATGCAGAATTTGTACTACGTGGGCCATTCTCAAGGCACAACGACGGGCTACGTGTTGTGTGCTATGAAGCCAGAATACAATAGCAAAATCAAAATGATGTTCTCGCTTGCACCAGAGGCCTGGATGGGCCATATAAGAAGTCCTTTAGTGAAAATATTTTCCCCCGCTCACAGTGTACTCGCATACCTACTCTCGGACTTCAGTGCTGATTATGCAGGAGTGGACTTCTTCAATAAAATATCAACATTCGTGTGTACTATTGTACCGGCAAGATGTGACAATGTATTGTTTGCGCTGTCGGGATATGAAACTAAAATAAACGAGACATTCTTAGCGGTCATATTGGGTCATTCTCCGACTGGATCGTCGACGTTTCAATTCGCTCACTATGGGCAACTGGTTGAGTCTCATCGGTTCTGCCGCTATGACTTTGGTAGACAAGGTAATTTGGCGGCGTACAACCAGAGCGTGCCTCCTGATTATGACCTGAGTCTAGTAACGACACCAGTAGTGATATTTTACAGTGCTAAAGACTTGTTATCGGACCCTAAAGACGTAAATATATTGATAAAAAACCTTAACAATGTACGTGAAACCATTTTCCTAGAAGATTTTACACATTTAGACTACGTTTATGCTCAAGATGCAGCTGATGTTATCTACAATAAGATTATTAGCTGTATCATTAGTGATGAAGATAACTGAGCTATGGAGAAGTACTACGCTATCGTATCGCTCTTTGGAACGACGATTCTGCGTGGCAGTAATGAATCGGATAAAAAAGCTGAAGGAAACTAATAATAAAAATTTACTAATAAAATAAAATAATTGACACTTCTTAGCGTTTTTTTCGACCGTGTACACTATAAGCTAAACTTCAATCGATACGTTAGCCAAAACAATATTTAGCTCTGCGGGACTGGCATTTTGAACTTCAAGAATATTAAAGTTATTTTTTTTTTACGATGGGCTTCGGGGCCATTTTTCCAACATCAATATTTTTTTTGTGTCATTTTATGTACTTGTTCATCGAGATATTTAGGTATTTATGTTGTTGGTCCCTATCGATCGAAAAAATTATTAAATACGAAAATTATACTTTTTCTGTTATAAATAAGTAGAATTCTAATTAAATACGTATTTTGTGTCATCTCTCTCCGCTGCAAACTGTAATTTAGCAAATATTTGAAAAATCGCTTGAATTGCTCCGAAAAAAGATTAGAATCGCTGATTATAGGTCTGATGCGTATAAAATCATTGGAGGGCTTGTCCAAAATAGTTTGTGTCAAATCCGTCCACGGAATTGGGAACTATTTATTTTTTTTCCTTTAGCACACCCCGACAATCACAAAAAAAAATTAAGTTATTAGAGTTGGTGCCTATATGATTACAACATCATTATGAAACACTTTACAAAAATTGTGCCGTTTTTATCCACGGATTCGAATTATTTCTTCGGTTTCTTCCGTATGGGCGTCCGCGGGGAACGACACGACGCGGGGAGGGGGAGCGCACGCGCGCCTGCAAGTTGCCCGGGCGATCTGTTTGTTTACTTTCTTTCTCGTAGTGTGCAGTGCAACACAGAAAACTGTTCAAAATGGAAGTTCAGCGTAATTATTTATTGTTGTGGGTGATTATCGTTATTAGGTTTTAAGCCACTTATTTTTTTAATATTTACATTACTTAGTATTTTTTGTATTCCTCATAATCTCTTAAGACTAGCGTAAACTTGATAAGACTGGGATGTTATTAAATTAACCTTAGCAACTGTAAAAAAAATGAACATTGTAGGTCCTACCTACATTGATTAATGTACTGATTTTTGTTTTTATTTAGTTCTTGCACATATTTCCGGGTGGTTTAAAAAGGACTGAGTTACTTTGAGAAAAATATGGTATGGCTGTTGTTTTTACTCGACTTGGCGGGGGCACTACCGTGCCCCCTTATCAACCTAACAACGTGAACTTTGAGATTTGCGGATGTTTGTATTTTTTTCATCCCATAGTGTATCAATGGTCCGGAGTAGGGTAGGATACTCTACATTTCTAACGCGCGGAGTAACAGACAAAGCCCAGTACTGTACCTACTGTGCGCCGCGGCGCACAGTAGGTACAGTACTGACTGATAAGGGGGCACGGTAGTGCCCCCGCCAAGTCGAGTAAAAACAACAGCCATACCATATTTTTCTCAAAGTAACTCAGTCCTTTTTAAACCACCCGGAAATATGTGCAAGAACTAAATAAAAACAAAAATCAGTACATTAATCAACTTTATATTCATTTTTAACAAAAAAAAGTAACGGTTTTGTTGCTACTTACACAAATAGTATTTGGGTACCTAGGCGAAAGAGATGTTTCTACAAAATCAATTCAAATTAACATAAATAGCTATGTAGGTAGGACCTACCATGTTCATTTTTTTTACAGTTGCTAAGGTTAATTTAATAACATCCCAGTCTTATCAAGTTTACGCTAGTCTTAAGAGATTATGAGGAATACAAAAAATACTAAGTAATGTAAATATTAAAAAAATAAGTGGCTTAAAACCTAATAACGATAATCACCCACAACAATAAATAATTACGCTGAACTTCCATTTTGAACAGTTTTCTGTGTTGCACTGCACACTACGAGAAAGAAAGTAAACAAACAGATCGCCCGGGCAACTTGCAGGCGCGCGTGCGCTCCCCCTCCCCGCGTCGTGTCGTTCCCCGCGGACGCCCATACGGAAGAAACCGAAGAAATAATTCGAATCCGTGGATAAAAACGGCACAATTTTTGTAAAGTGTTTCATAATGATGTTGTAATCATATAGGCACCAACTCTAATAACTTAATTTTTTTTTGTGATTGTCGGGGTGTGCTAAAGGAAAAAAAATAAATAGTTCCCAATTCCGTGGACGGATTTGACACAAACTATTTTGGACAAGCCCTCCAATGATTTTATACGCATCAGACCTATAATCAGCGATTCTAATCTTTTTTCGGAGCAATAAAGATAAAGATAAAGATAAAGATAAATTTATTTGTATAAACATGTGTGGGTAACATTATACATATAGATGCAAATGCAGATGGTAAGGTGAAAGCTCTAATGTTTCAATTTGCAATTCAAGCGATTTTTCAAATATTTGCTAAATTACAGTTTGCAGCGGAGAGAGATGACACAAAATACGTATTTAATTAGAATTCTACTTATTTATAACAGAAAAAGTATAATTTTCGTATTTAATAATTTTTTCGATCGATAGGGACCAACAACATAAATACCTAAATATCTCGATGAACAAGTACATAAAATGACACAAAAAAAATATTGATGTTGGAAAAATGGCCCCGAAGCCCATCGTAAAAAAAAATAACTTTAATATTCTTGAAGTTCAAAATGCCAGTCCCGCAGAGCTAGTGTGCGTGTTGTGCGCAGATCCGTGAAATGACACCCTCCACACACCCATCGCGCGCTTCCTCCAGTACGCAAATGTAGTTTTTTATGTCTAATATCATTTCCTATGGACGAAAATGGCACAAATTTCAGTTTTAGGTGTGTCATGATTTATGAAAATTAATAAAGTGAACTCTAATAATTTTAATTTTTTTTTTAATCTCAGTTAACTTGGGAACGCAGAATATTTGAATATTTCAAAATCGCGTGGTCTAATTTGACACAAAATTGAATGATATGGTATTTTAAATGACCTTTAACTGGATTTAATTAATTTTGTTACTTGTAGTTTTTTTTCGCTATGTTATTTACCTTTTACGTTTTGGATGTGTAACGCATGTTGCAGTGCACGAAAATGACACAAACTCGACTGGCACACAATTTATGCTTTTTAATGGTCGATACAATGATATTTTCAAACATAAATTTTATTTTAGTTGGTTTAAATTCGAAATAAAAAATTCTACTATGTTGCATCGAATAACTCAAATTGCAAGAACGAAAAGTGACACAAAATACCACAGAAGCTTTATAATTACACACTGAACACATGTGCAAAAAATTATCAACTTTAATATTCTTGAAGTTTTGGTACTGAAATATTGCTAGCGCTATCGGAGTAATTTATCTACGCATTTAGATTGCACGGTTGGTCACAGTCACGGTTGGCTGGGCAACTGGCTGCCGTGCAAAGTGTCGCGGGTTCGATTCCCGCAGGGAACAACTCTTTGTATGATCCACATATTATTGTTCCGGGTTTGGGTATGATGGGTATGTTTATTTATAATCGCACCCACGACACAGGAGAAAATCCTACTGTAGGGAAAAGGAGATTTTTTTTTTAAAAGGGGGTCTTTGTGTGCACACATGTTAGTTGTTGACTGCTGTTACTCAAAGAATTTTTGTTTTTGAAGTAAAACCCTTCAATGTTCACTCTGAAAGTTTATTTAAATATCATTCTACTACACCCCATTAGTGATGATATTTCAATGACCAATATAAAGCAATTAATTGCTTAATTTGTTAATAAAGTTCTTCATAAAATTGAGTTTAATTATTTGTAAACTCACCCTATATCCAATTCTTCCTTCCTTTTATAAAGTTTCTCTTTTTGTTCCGAGAAACTGATGAACTGGTCCAACGCTTTCTTGTTTACATGGTTATATTTCTTCAGGTGCTGGTTCGCCTTCTCAAGCTCTTTGAATAGCTGTAGACATTTAATAAAAATTATGATAAGGGGACTCACCTATCAAACAAAATATAAAGGAAACTCGTATTAAAATAATATAAAAATTAATATCCAAGTGTGTTGTTATTTAACAAGGCACTTGCCTGTGAACGGCTTAACAGAATCTGATAATAACGTTTTTGTTTTGCGAACTAGGTATGCAAAAGGTAAAAGACGAAAAATGAATGAGTATTGGGACTACGAGAACTTCACTAAGTCACACAAAGCAAACGGGCTTCGTTTCACGCCAGTTATTCGTAAGGCCGTGATATTGCCGACTTACTCGTGTCGAAGTATGCCACTCTTGCATTGCAACCTTACTATACGGTTGTAAGCTTACTCTGTTAAGTATATAACACATACAACATAATCTCTTACCTGTTTGAGTGACATTTTCTGATACTTGGCGTGTAATTCGGGTGCATTCGGTAATGTTCCCAACGCTGCGATCTTGTCGAGGGATTCCTGTATTTTCTCCTGTAGCAACACTTCTTTGGAAGCCATCTTCTCTAAGCCCTTGGCGTCTTCTTCCATTTTGTCTTGTGCTTCTTTTTCCTATTGACGAAAGTAAAAGTAAACAAAAGTGGCTTTTTTTATTAGTCTGCATACAACTTTCAATCATCTTATCTTTAGCACTCTTGGAAGGACAAGTAACCGAAAATGTTATTAAAAGTCACGTATTTATTATACGTGACTTTTAATAAATAACTCATGGTGGCACAGAATCTTAGGTATGGTCAGAGATAGACGATATTTGTAGCAAATATTATTTTAGACTTTACTAGCTACTCCCGCGCGGTTTCACCCGCTGCTCCATTTACTCATTGCGTGATATTTTATAGCCTATAGTACTCAGGAACATTGTAGCTATCTATCAGTGAAAGAATTTGGGAAATCCGACCAGCGGTTCAAAAGATTACCCCCTACATACAAACTTACAAATTTTACCTCTTTATAATATTAGTACTGATTAGTCTGGCTCCAAATTATGAAAAAAAAACTATCTAAAACTAAAACTATCTAAATTATGTAACAATGCATTGTAAAAAGTGATTGAAAAAGAGTAACCATGGAGTTTCTTGCTCGTTCTTCTCCATAGGAATCTACACTTTGGAACGAGCAAATAGCTTCACTAGAGGACAGACGGACAGACTGACACATATAAAGTTAAACCTTATGATATCTTTTTTGCTTGACGTTCAAAAGTGCCTTTTTTTGGTCTATTTGAAATAAAGAATTTGATTTGATTTGATTTGATTTGATTAGAAATATTTCTTATATATGTACTTGATTTACGAAAATCACTCTTACAGCTTATGTATTAAGTTCATACCTTATTCCTCCATTTATCGAGCTCCAATTTCAGTGCCTTTTCATTCTTGACAGCAGCTTGGACCTTTCTTTCAACTTCTTCTAGTTCTTTATTAATCTGCTTGATGCGTTTCTCGGTGGCGGCGAGATCTGCTTTGCTGTTTGCCAGTCTACGCTTTCGGTCTTCTACCGATATCTCTTGTAGAGCTTGTACTAACTCGTCCTTACGTCTGTACGGAAAGAAACGTTAGGTTAGAGTCAATCAGCCGGGTACCGCGGCCTCGGCCTTAAGCAGGAAAAGGAGCGGTTTTTAGTCAGTAAAAGTCTGGCACTCCCTCTCGCCGGGCAAGAGAAGTCATTGGATGCTTTTGCCCCTCACAAAATAATGGTTAGAGATAAAAATGAATGAAAAGAGAGTACTTTTTATGACATAAAGGCTGTAAAGGCAGAATTAAAATGTAGATTTTTTACTGATAGTGATGCAACGAAATACAATATTTTCAAGCAAAACCGATTCAAATAAATCTTTGTTTTTGTAGACACACATCTAACTGCCAAACAAAAACCACTGACTTTCGCAACTTTATTTCAGTTATAATTTAAGTTCTGTATATTATTGTTAAATTAATTATTATATACACATCTGTTATCTTGTTAGATCATTTTGCATTAACAAATAAATAAATATCAGGGGAACAATATTAACAATAGAGAAATCAACCTTCTTAAAATGAATAGTTTTCTTACCGAATCAAGTTGTTAGTAAGTAAATTCTCGAGTTTGTTCTTAGTAGCTTCCAAGTTCATCCTAGCACTGAAAGCCTCTTTGTTTTCCTGCGTGAGACGTCGGATCGCGTCGTTCAGTTCATCCACCTTGCCTTGGTCCGCCGTCGATAGTTGTTCCATCAATTCCTGTCATACACACAAAGATTTTGTATAACAATGTAAAAAACAAAGGATTGGATTTATGTACTTTTTGACGATAACTAATTGGTATTTATATGCTGTGCACAGCATATAGTTTCACAGTTATATAATATCTTTGTTTATGTTTTTTGAATTATCAAAATATAATCATACTTCATTCATTGATTTAACGATATACTTAATTTTAGACTTTTATAGCAAATTTTCCAATAAATGTGTTATTTGAAAAGTAGTATGACGCCTATTTTATTAACGTATATTGCGATTTCATTGAAAAGCATATTTTTTGATTAAATTGTATAGATTTGTCAAAAACCTTGAACAATCCAAAAATATTAATTCCGGCATTATAACAAAAGTTTTTGTTTAATATATCAAACTCCAAGCGAAAGCCGTTAGACGTTTGTGCACCTATTTTTTTTGTGTTTCGAATTACCACTATTGAAACGTTAAATTGAGATGGGAATGTAAAAGGTAAGTACAAACAGGCGAAAGTGCAATTAAAAATCTAAAATCCTCATGAATATTAAACATAAGTTCTAGATTAAAAGTGTCAATAAATAGTTACCTGATGCAACTCAGACTCGAGCCCTTCTTTAGTGGCCTGCATGGCCTCCAAACTGGAGCGGCATTGCGCTAGAGAGCGCTCCTTAGGTCCACGGAACCTTTCTATTGAAGCAAGCTCCTCTTTCATTAGACGAATATCTGCCTTCACTTTGTCAAATATATCCCTGTAAAAGTATTATTGTTAGTTCGCCTCTAAGGGCGCATAGTCTTCAGCACAAACTATTAACTAGTACACACTTTCAAACTTTTATTAGTGCCTTTTGGGGTTTTACGTCCTTTTATTATCATTCCTAAATCAAAACTAATATTATAATTGCGAAAGTAACTCTGTCTGTCGTCTGTCTGTCTGTCTTTTCTTCACGCCTAAACTACTAAACCGATTTCTGTGAAATTTGGAACAGACATAGTTTGGAACTTGAGAAAGGATATAGGATAGTTTCTATAGGTACCAAAAATCTGCAGGAAGTCACTATTCCACGCGAATGGAGTCGTAGGCAAAAGCTAGTTAATAATAAATGTATTATCATAGCAACTGAATTAAATCCAATATGATGTATGGAACTGTTTCTTATTGCTCCTCAATCGGTTGATATGAGGTTTCATAGAAATTGCGTATTCTGGGGCAGTCATTTTAAAGGTCTTTACCTAGTGTGTAAGTGTGTAAGATGGTAAGGATATTTGCAAAATTATGATATTTATTAATTTATCAATGTTTTGTTTACATATACCTATGATATATAGAATACAGTCTGGAATATAGGCCACTTTTTAACCTGTAACTGCGGCCGAAACCGATAGTAATAACTAGTTTATTATAAATGATATCTCCACCCAAGTCATCCTCCACCTAAGTGCTACATTTTCATGTATACTTACTTAGCCTTTCCCTGTTTAGTTTCAGTTCTCTGCATCTCAGACACGATAGAGTTGATGCTCGTCTCAGTTTTATTCAGTTCCTGTCTCAACGTGCTCAACTCTTGTTCCAGCGTGGTGATCTGCTCCATCAGTTCTGAACGTGTCTTCTGCATTTCTAAACGAGAGCGAGACTGGTTGAAGTAACCTCCCGTGAGAGAACCTTTGGATGACACCTGTGAAAGGATAATTGGGATGATTCATAATAAGGAAGTCGAAAATTTAAAGTAATTTTTATTTAAAAAAACAAATTTGTATTTCGAGCATCATTCTTGTCGCGGTGCGCTCGAAACCAAGTAACGGCTGCTCATGATTATAAGTCCCCTTGTTACACGAAACTAGTAGTCGTTATCTTTAGTAAATTTAGTTTGACTAACGATATTGATCAAAAAAAATTAATTGTTATTAGAACGAAAAAGACCGAATAACAGGATCTGAATTACTAAAACTAGACCGACAATAACAATAGCAACCAAGGTGATAGATTGTTTTGTTCGATAAACATCAATAAAGCTGTCCAGTGCATTCAATATTGTCGTCCTAATCAGACAGTAAGAGTCTGACATTTCCTGTCGCCCCACCCTGGACGGGAGAAGTCTCTTAATGATTTTTCCCTCACAAAAAAAACCTGCGTCACCATAGCTCGCAGATGAAGATATTACGGGAAATATCTAAAAGGCTGTCAATAATATTGGTAACTTAAAATAATATATTATAGTCTTGCTACAATACCTGATCTCCTTCGAGCGTGACACAGTCAAGATGGAACTGTTTCCCGAGTTCCGTGGCGCACTCCAAGTTCCTGCAGATGAGCGTCTTCCCGAATATGTACTTCATCGCCTTCGCGTACTTAGGATCGTATTTCAATTTCTGTACCATGGCAATGGCGTTCTGGAATAAAAGGGAACCTAAATTTATTTATTTAACTAAAGTAAAAGTTAAAATCGAAATCATTTATTACTACTGAACAACAGGTCCTTTCTAAACTGGGACAGAGAAAGCGACTTTGTTTTATACTATACTAGATTCGCGCGGTTTCACCCCCTGCTCGGCTCCTCCAGATCATAGCGTGATGTTATATAGCCTAAAGCCTTCCTCGACAAAAAATCTATTTAGCAAAAAATAATTTTTCAATTCGAACCTGTAGATCCTGAGATTTACGCGTTCAAACAATCAAACAGACTCTTCTGCCTTATAATCTATATATGAGAATAATATATTTCCACTTTTCGTTGTAATGCTATAACTCAGCAATGCCTTTACCGATTTGCCTAATTTTAAGTCAAGAGAAGGCTTGTACTTAAAAAAAATTTTAAAACCATACGCTGTGGGCGACCGCTTATATTAGTATAGATAGTAAATTAAATATGTATAACAGAAGAAAACTTACATTATCGTTAGGATAGACCATGTCCCGGACCTGCAGTCGGTTGAGGGGCATGAATGTGACCTCACCGGGCAAGCTCTGCCTGTTCATCTCCTTCAGGATCTTTGTGCCCACTGTGTCAGATTCCACGATGTGGTGAAACAGTCTGTTACCTGCTGTCACCTGGGTGCAAAATAAGGGATCATATTATTGACCGATTCAATTATACTGGATAAGACGGCGACGGCGATAGCATCGTTTTTCGCGCAATGCCACTCGATGAACATGAATTCCTGGTGTGAACTGAAACTATTACAACCATTGTTTTTTGACAAAATTATTGTATAATATAAAATTGATTGATGAGTAACTTAAACACTTTGGAAAGTAATAGTTATGTTTAATAAACACAGCAAACAATTTTCCTTGTCTATAATCATCTTATGGTTGTGTTTTATATTTCAAACCTTAATATTGCGATTTAAAAAAACATAATAAAGAAACGTTGCTCCCCACTAGGATTTTCTCCTGTGTCTTGGGTGCGTCAACAAACATACAAATTCACATACCGATCACACCCAGACCCGGAACAACAATTTGTGGATCACACAAAAAGTAATTTCGTGCGGGTATCGAAAACGCGACACGTATCGCAGACAGCGGGCCAACCGTGCAGTGAAAAAATTTAAAAACAATATACACATCTCCACCTCTTTATAATATTAGTGTAGACAAATCCTTACCTCAACAGCAGTATAAATAGTCTTATCACAAGTGAAGTTCTCAATGACAGGTCCGTAGTACTGCGTGGCTATCTTCGCCCATTCCCCACCTCTCTCTTGGAAAGTCTCCAGTACTTTGCGCACACTGTCTCTTCCGTTCAGGATAGGCTGCAAGCAAATATTAATGTTAAGACTATAGGTATAGGGTTTAATATTGATCTTCTTCATCATCTTGTTATGAGCCTTAGTGATGTATAGCCAAAAAGGTTTCACAAAATAGTGTCTTTACCTTTCCGGCCATGGACCTCAAAGCTTGATCAGCTTTGGCCAAGTCTTCTTTTAAAGATGACAGGTTCTGTGTTAGGGAAGTTTCTTTTCGCCATAGTTCACTAAAATAAAGATGTATAATTAATTATAGTTTAGCTAGAGAATAGCCCTGTTTCGATAAATCGCCAAATGCATGTGATTAAATCAGCCGAGTTGCGAAAAATAATACTGATATATTTTTTAAGATTCAAAATTCTTTTGCAAAATTTTCTAAAGCAAATAGCCTGTAATAACAAAACAAATTGGAACTTTATCCCACACCAAGAAAGTTCTTAAGTAAAAAATAAGTAAAGTTCTTAAGTATAAAATAAATAAAGCCTAATTCTGTCCAATTGGACCAAAAAGGCGTGTTTACGGAGTTTGCGTCATAGTCATTTTATTATACGCAACGTAAATACTTACTTCCTAGCACTTTGCTCCTGATCCTTCCTCTTTTTGCACTCGTAATACTGTTTATTGTGTTCGTCTATAGCCACTCGCTGTCTCTCCATCTCTTTTGTAGTCTCCTCTATTCTCTTTTCCAACTCTGTCAACTTTGTAGCGTCGCGGCGAAGGTCATCTCGTAACTTAGTCTCGTGATCCTTCTTGTCTTTTATTTGTTTGTTTAGAGACCTGGGTAAAGGAAATTAGACTTTAAAACTTGATAGATAGGGTTAAAAAAATTGATTGTCTGTAACAGATTTATACATACTAAATAACCTCTTTAAATTATTGTGTATGAGTATAAAATTATATGTTTGAATGATAACATTACACCAACAAATAGTTTCGTGTTGAATGTGTAATACAACGGTATTAGTAGCACTTTTAAGTAAACCTAAACTTTTTGAACTGTGATCTTCAAGTTGGCTCAATGGTTTAGGCCTAGACTAAAGAAAAACTTTGTTTTGTAATAGTTTCAAAAGAATAATAATAATGACGATCATTTACATACTTGAGTTCCTTCTCAATCCATCTGTCTCTGTCTTGCTTGGAGGTGAACTGAGTGCCTCTCCCCTGCTTGGCGTATAGTTCCTGCCGCTTCTGCTGGTTGAGTGCGAGGGCGCGCGTACATTCCTCCTCTCGAGCTTTCATCTCTTCGTATTTAGGCTTTAACTCTTCAAGCTCGCGCTCTTTTTCCGCTATCTGTTGCCTAAGACGCTCCAGTTCACCTTCGGCACGTTCCTAAAGATTATGTTTAAATATCCATAGTTAAAAAGAAATTATTTCAACCATAATAATTTAGTAGTAATCACACCTACATTAATTAATTTAACAATATACTTAATATTAGTATTTACGATTATTCAAGAGAAATATGTTTATTCTTAGAAAATTGGCGTTTTTTTTTTTCAATACATATTCAAGTTTATCAATGTTAGCAAACAAACCAAAACCAGTGATAGAAAATCAAAGCTTGTTAAATATTACAGATTGATTTAAATATTAATTTATTTATTATTAGTATTAGTAAAATAGAAAATTTATAGAGCTCACCTTAGATTTGTTGTCTCCATCGACATCATCTGACAAATCCTTGATACCAAGTTCCAATTTGGTCTTCTCTCTCAACAACTGTTGTTGTTCAGTTGACAGTATATCTTTCTCTTCACGGGCCGCGGCTACATCCTTACGCGCGTCTTTTAACTTCCTATAAAAAGTTACATTTACATCGATTTTATTTACAAAAATCTCATTATAAATAGGTTGTATCTTTAGGAGGATATTAATGTCAGAAAGACAGAAAATTAAATCTTAATATAAATGTATAATTTTATTGATATGGATTAAAAATCTTAAAATGCACTTGAAGAACTTCAGAGATTTTGATTAGAGTTTCAGAGGTTTGAAATAGAAGCAGTCGCTATATGAACCAACCTCTTTTTAAACCTACTTATTTGAGAATGAGCAAAATAAAAAATAATAATTAGTAGAAATTACCTGTTAGCCTCTCTGACATGTTCCTGTGCCTCTCTGACCATGTCGGCGTAATGTTGCTGCTCTTTGCCGCTGTTTGAGCGCATTTTCTCCAACTAAACGTATACAGAATAACGGTCAATAAAAACTAGTCAAAACAACAGCATATGCAGGTAAGATCGCTTACCCACACATCATAAGCCTATAAGTGCCGACTGCTAAATAAAGGTATTTTCTCACACAGAGAAGGTTTCAGCATTTATCCCCAAAGCTGTTCAAGGCGGATTGGCGATAAAAAATAATAATTAGAAATTATAAGTGCAGATTTTATCACGATGTTTTTCTACACCGTTTGTCTCGGAAAAAGTCTTATAGTTCTGGGCCATCACAACATAGGTATATACATTTTAAAAGACGCAAAACGTGTCATATTTGTAGGTATCATTGAATCTCGACGTATTCTATAGAATATAAATATCATTATAAACTGACCTCTTCAAGCTTTCGCTTGTTCTCCCTGTGTTCCGTGTCATGTATGATGAACTCCAACACACGCCGAGCTCGATCCCATTTCTGATACTCTTTCAATTCTTCCTTTTCTTCTTCTAGAGTTTTCAGACGCTCCTCAATTGTTTGCAAGAACTCATTGATTTTTTCCACCTGTGTTTACAGTAAGAATTCTGGTTAATGATTAAAAAAAAAAGTAAATAAATCTAGGTAATGTGTAACTTTCATTCAGTGTCTGGTTGTCCAACTAACATAATATTTGTTACTATAAAAATGGCAGATTAATAACACAAAAAAGCATTTAATTTTTTTTAAGCGGTCTTTAATTATAACAGTCATGTAATAATGCATGTAAAGTTAAAAATCAAAGTAAATTACAATTAGAATGATATTAATATGGCACTTTTGCAGTTAGGATTTAATATGAAAACCTTTGAGTTTAGAATAAATTAGAAATGATATGCACACAAGATGTAGTGGTATGTTAATGAGACTTATTATACCCTAGTTTACAAATTGTATAAGTGTACCTTTCCAACAGTTTCTTTGAGAATAGTGACGGATTCTTCTCTGCGCTCATCATACACTCTGGTTCCAGCCACTTCTCTTAGCAGCTTCAATCTATGGGAGTCAGGGGCTATGGCCATTTGATTGATCTGTGAATGGAAGAAAATATAATGTTCCAAATGTTTTTTGTTTATGATTACTATTACAACAACATGCAAAGTGATAAAACAAACTTGATAAGATCCTATTGGCCATTAAGTCATATTAAATATTTCAAAATTTGTGCCTAAATAGTCAAGTTTACAAAAAACATACAACATACAATATACAACTTGATCTAAGTCAATGGGATGACAAAACACTTCCTATGTTGTTAAGGACCTTATAATTTAATAACTTGAATGTTTTAATAAAAAGCGATACTGGATGTACATCACATCCAGTAATGTATTCTTCAAGCCCAGTGTTGTACACACCCAAAGTACAGCATATTGTACAGCATTTTGTCTGCCTGTATGAATGAATGTCATAGCTGTACGAAAATTCCTAACTCATGACCAACCTAAAAGGTCTTGTTTCACATGGAGAAGCTTTGAGCTTTAATTGCTATACTAGCTCTAGGCAGATTTGCCATTCCAAACTTACAATTAGACATTTCCTAACAATGTTTTCAATAACCATATTGTCAGACTTGGACAAAGGTCACACTGGTACTTGCCATGTTTCAAACCCACTTCCGCATGCATGAGAAAACTTAATATTTGGGCCATTTAGTTTACTAAAAAATAAATTTCAAGACAGTATTGTCTTACCTTTCCCTGTTTGACAATGTAATATGGATTGGAGTTAGATAATCCAGCACTTTCCAGCAGATTAAGTACCTCGGACCGAGGCACAACTTTTTTGTTGAGGAAGAACTGATCCTTCTTTGATCCAATGACACGGCGCAGAAATATTTCATGTTTTTCAATCTAAATAGTGATAGAATAGTTGTTTATAAGAATGTGTATCGCAAAAATTAAAGTATAAGTGATATAAATTATAATATTTAAGTTTCTTCAAATAATAACAGAAAGCTCATAAACTTTATGTAACAAACTATTTCTTAATAAAAAACAAGACAAAGGAGTTCTTACCGGAATCCGATTGTCTGAATTGTCAAATATGATCTCGACAAATGCCGAAATAACCCTCGGGCCTGTACCTTCATGTAACAGAGCCAGACGCTGCTCCGGTCTAAGATGAGAGAACTCATCACTCAATACAAATTGTATAGCTGAAAATATAATAACTGTATATTACAAATTCTTAATAATATAATACTAACGAATAAAATGACTTTTAATTGTTATTAAGTTGTGGTTTTCAGTGATCTAGCATTCTTGTTTGGGTTAGTTTACAAGGGAATACTAATTATAAGAGTTAAACATTGAAACATCACTTACCATGGAAAAAGTTACTTTTTCCCGAACCGTTTCTGCCAACGACGACATTATGCCGTTTGTCGAATGGTTCGACCACAATTTGTTCACGGTAACTCTTGAAACCCTGGATTATCACCTATAAACAGAGGCACTTACAATAGCGTCACTTATAAGTTACGACAATTTACATTTAACTGATATATCTTATAACACCATTATTACAATAGCAGCAAAAGTACTCAATTTACCTGTTTAATATGCATTTTTATGGATCGTCAGCGTTTTTAGGATAAACTTATAAATTTATTGTTTACAGTGGCGATGATACGTTGACCGCCATTTCGAAATGCCAAATTTGACATTACGGTTTAATTAGTACAGATTATAAAACAGAAAAGCAGCGAGTAAACCTAAATCTATGATTCTTAGTGGTAATCCTGCGTTCGGATACACACTCAAAATATCTTATGATACTGTGTCAGTGTTGCCATACTTTTTCAAAATCGCAATCGCTTGCCCAGCAGATGGCGGTATTCAGTTTTTTAAATGCTATACTTTGATCAGCGCCATCTAGCGAACGAAGAAATGTTGTCGAATAATCAGGAAAATCGTTGCTTAAAATGAGTCAAATTTTTTAAACTTACATCTTTCCAGTAAATAACATTGGCATATAGGAGAACTTGTACATTTAATATCTAGTGAATTATAGGTAGGCTTCCAAAAACATTTAAGAAGACGATTTGCGTTGATACATACCCTTCACACTAGAAGAAAATTTTTAGGCACGCGAACCTTGAAAATTATTATCAAATAATATTTTTAAATGAGGTCAACTTGCCTAAACGATCACCAAGTAAATGTGTAAATTAATTTGAGCTTCAAACTCCATGTTTTATTTACTTTTAAGATTGTCACGTGCTTGCAATGAAAACTAGGATAGTAGCCGCTATGACGTGACAGCCACACCTCCGTTAGCATTTTGCAAACACTGCATAAATTATCACTAAAAATTATCCTGTTTCACATTTTTCGTTGCTCAACGGTTCTTATAAAAGGTGTTTGTAATCTCTAAACATCGTTGCGGCGTCATTGATTCGAATGTTTTACCTACAAAGCTATATCTATAATCGTATATAGTAAATCTGCATAGTCGCTAAATTAGACTGGAGTGAACGTGAATGTGTATGCAAACATCCAAATACTTTATCATATTACCCTACTGGCAAATACTAAAGCTTCATCCGGTGTGATATGCATAACATTTAGTAAGCGTACCCGTGGGGCATATCATCAGGGCATATAAGCCATCGCCGCCTCGGCCTAAAACAGGAGAAGGAACTCTTACTGACTAAAAGTTATGATTTTCCCCTCACAAAAAAGGGTATGTCACACCTGGACAACACTTTGAGGAATTAGTAAATAAGTAGGTTAATAGTTCCTTACTTTTGAGAGGGGAAAATCATCGAACGGCTTCTCGAGGCAGGATATTGTCCTTATGATATATAAAACAATGGCCTTAGCATTTGTTTCAGGAAGTAATCGAATTTGTAATTTTCTTTGCAAGAACCAAAACGTAGGTACCTCCTCCTTATGAAATCCTTGGAACTTAATCAAAAACACAAAATTAGAGATTTTACTTAAATTACCATTTACGTCACAAAATTAAATCGCAGTGCCGAATTATATAAGGACGAGGTTAACGAACTTGGTTCTCCTGATCAAAATATCGAATCTGTGCGAACTCACACAGACACATATCTCCACTTAAATCCTTATACTGCTGAGCTAACGCGGCATGTTAAGTAAATATCAACTAAAGGTAATTTAGGATTCAACTCCGCGAGCTAGTCATGGAATGAATACAATAAATGTTAATTTTTGGTGATTTATTTGAAGAACGCCCAACAAAATCATATCTGTCGGATTATATTTATATATCACTGTACTTAAATTAAATGAAAAAACAGCTGCGTTTGTAAATCCAGTTGCAAGAGCTTTAAAGTTTATTTATAAAATGAAAAAAAAAAAAAATTGAATGTCAATAATATTTACAGCTAATATAAAAATACTTTAGGGTTGCCTTTTCCCAACACATTTTTATATCGACTTTGAGATTTTACCAGATTTAGCTGAATTACCATTTTAAGCAATCACCTGCCCTCCTCCGTAGTAAGTTGTGTACTTACTAAGGAGGATACTTTTCTCCTCTAGTTTGTTAACAAGTCATGCATCACGCAAGCACTCATTACGCAAAATCGGTCCCTTTACCTATGTATAGATAACATGAATAATTCGTTCGTGTTTGAATAAATTCTAAAGACGGTTTGAAGCTAAAGTTGGTATTCACTACAGTAAGTACATACATCCAAAACTATCAGTAACATTCTAGTTAGAAATACCTGTTGGCAAAATAAAAAACAGCTTCATCGTTGGCCACATCATCATTTACCACAAGGTGAATTAGTGGTCAAACGTCAACCGATTAATTATAACAAATATAATGGTAAAAAACCTAGGTCGTACGTCCTAAATAATATATTAGATAGGTACCTACGTCTTAATTTATTGATTATCGGCAATACCTTTATTTTTTTGGATAAGTTATCGCAAGTCGCATAATAGCAATTTTGACACAATACCAATAGCTGTGTTCCATCCACTGTGTATGAGAGGCATACAGAGGAGAGCCTCTGTGTACTCTCCACTGAACTCAATCTTTAATAAATAACTCACCGCCAGCCAGTTTGTGGATATCCTCCCTCCACCAAATTGGAGGACATCCTACACTAAGTTTGCAAAGACATTATTTGCTCTGCAGAATACCTGCGTCTACACTAACGGTCATCATTTCTCCAAAATAAATGACTGCCCCACTCACCCACTGCACTTTAGCTTACTGACCCTATGCGTGCTAGGTATAAACAATTGGGCCTTCATTAATTAAAAGTAGAAAGAGCAGAATAGAGAGATAAATGAAGTTGAAACAATTCAATAGGTTTAAGGTTCCTTACCCATATGTAATTTGTACAATTCGAGCATTTTTTTATTTATTGAAAACTTTCAAACTCATTTTATACCAGATTATACTGTAAATTAATTTTACAAATCCTAAGAAATCTAATTGAATACAAGTAAGAACATTCAAAAGCAAAAAATAGAACACTCTATATGCCACCAGCTAATCCAACCTTTTAAACTTTAGCATAGGTAGAAGCCTAGAAGCCAATCATAGTCCTATACATCTTATCTATTTAATTTGAGTACTATAACTAGTCTGTCCCTTTGAGCTTGATGCCTGATGCGCACCACGAAACAGTGCTATGCGTCCTTATCATACGTGCCATTTTCATGACGTAAGGTAGTTATGTAAATAATTCTTAATTAATGCAAGTTCCAATTTAGCAAATAAATAAGAATTTCTTATACCTAACAAAAACAATGCAAGCTATCAGTAAAAGTCATCAACCTCATGCATATTTTTAAAATGCAAAAGTAGATCGTAAATAGCATTACTTTAAATTAAATATTTAAACGGAATAATTCAATTGTTAACATTACTTGTCACCAGATATAAACTTAAAAAGTTATATAATAATATGTATATATGACATGTTCAAGACGAGTTTAAAATGACATAAACTAAAATAAATTGATTAGGACTCAAGCTGTTGACTTTCAAGTAAACAACTCTTTCTGTGTTTGAAATTCCTTGCAGTCTAACCAACGAAGTTATTTAGGCTCTATAGCTTTTGCTAAGATTGTTTATCACTTTTAACTACTATATAGATGTTGATTGCAGCTGCGGTCAAGTGCAATAAGGTACCACGGCGACGGCCTGGAGCAGGCGAAGGAAAGGAAAGGGAGGTGGTGTATAGTCAGTAAAAGTCCGATACTCCATCTCGCCATAATCTGGGCGAGAAAACTCATTTGATAATTTTCCCTCCACAAAAAAGATGTTGATTGCAACTTCGTACAATAGGTGATTTAGAAAATTGTGTGTGATATAAAATAATAGTTCAAAAAAGTTTTTTTTAAACTATTCCAAAATTTTAAATTACAGTAATAGCTTACACATAATCATCTACATTAGAGAATAGAAATTTACTGTATTGATAACGACTGTCTTTATATTTATTTTAAAAACTATTGATAAAGGATACACTATTCTAATTTATACTGCAGCACGACATGGAATATTTAGTAACATTTATTTTATTAAAAGTTTTATCGCACTTACTTTTTTAAGTCCAATACATATTGAATTTTCTACTCGTGGAGATAAAATTGGCGGTTCACGTCGTCCTCACGACAGTGCCTCCTTAATAAATATTTATTGTAATAACTGTATCTATAGTGAGCTGTTGTATTTGTTTCTAGAGTTCCGAATTAGTACGATCTCGTCGTTTGATTATAGCGTACCGGACGCAGAATCAAGTTAGCGCCGTGGCCATAAGCGTATACGCAAAAATAATAATTCCTAAATAAAATATTAAATAACTATGACGGCAGTAAAAAGTGAAGAAAGTGACAATAAAAGTGATATTTTTACAAAAATTGAACGTTTTGGAAGATATCAGACTGTACAATACATTTTTGTTTGTTTAACTTTATTTATGATTTCTATGACACACGTGAATTACGTGTTTGTGGCCGAAAATGTTAATTACAGGTAAGAATTTATTTTTGACTTATTTAATCGGATCAATATACATAATATCTAATATCTTTTAATAATACAAAAACTTCGCAGGCTCTCAGACAGTTTCGACTATATGAGACCACCCGGTCTCCTAGGTTAATAAATAAATTCGACGTTTCAATAGAATGAAATATCGAAAAATAACTATACTTTTATTCATCGATCGGTTCATACACTAAATTTAATATATTTTTAAGCTAGTTTTTAAGAGATACGTATAAAAAAATAGCGTTTTGACGCAAAAATACTGACGTCATTACTCAGTTTTTCATACAAATTTCATAGAAAAGTATAGTTTTTGACATTTGGATAAAAGTATTGAATTTGACTAGTTGGAAACTACCGTATTGTATTATATTCATATTTTTTTTATAAAAAAAATTATTAAGATTAGAAAATCTATTCCTGTCAGCCCTGCGTATTTAAATATGTCAATTGAAAATGAAGTGGAGGTAAAAAATGTTCCTTCTTTCAATCAGATTCTGTTTTTTTATCAAAAGTACTCAGTTTAATAGTTACCCAAACAATTGGCAAATTTTGAGTTGTCTCCATTCAGAAGTAAAATGGTTTATATTTTTGTACAAATCCTTTATTAATTAACGCTAGTGCAAAATTTTCTTTACGTCTTAATTAAATTCGCCACTCTGTTCAGGCCATACACATAACTATATAGGTATGATTCAAGTTATTATTAATCTCTTCCTTTGATTGATAACCTACTTTGATGAATTTCCTTCAATTGATTTATTTCGAAAAAAGTGAATCATCATCTGAGCTCGCACATCATTATTTATATAGATCAATCATCATTTGCATCCTGCCACAGTTACTAGATACTTAGAGGATAAGAATATCCCTTCCATCGTTTAAGTTTGTTTTTCATTAACTCCTTAGTCAACTGGTAAAAAGTTGGTCCAAAAATTATTCTACTTCAACAGCCGGCACGATTCATCGGGACATAAAGGGTTGGGGTTTTGCGCCACTTTCAATCGCCCGATTTAGGGACCTTAACAGGCTAACAGCGATCATACCACCCAATCCGTTGGAACCTAGGGACCTAGGGCATGAATCGTGTCGTCTGATCGATGCTTAACTTATTACTCACACCATTTTCATTGGACGTTCATAGTGAGTTTAAAAAATTCCGTTAGATGCTTCAGTTGGCTGTTTTTAATTGTTGCCCAGGATCTAATTGGCCCACAGACATTTATAATTTGTCTAATAATTGTTGATAAGGTTAATTTACTTTTAATAGCTTGAATCCATTCCTTCTGGAAGTTTTGCTTTGCTTAATTAAAAGCTATGAGCCCTTGAGAACGATTACGTGTTAATTAGTTCTGGAAACATACATACAATTAATAAACTTTAACAAAAACATAGGAGCTTTGATAGGATCCAATTGACTTATGGCTGAATGTATCCCTGTATCAATTGAGCTCATTGTGTGAATAAATGGTCTCAATTTTGCATTTTATTAGCGACGAAAGTACTTGGGTAAATTATCACTTACATTTCATAATATAACGTTATCATTACCTATGCCTTTTATCCTATAAACAAGCAGTGATTTTAGCTTAATAGGTTTCTCACAGCACTTATGTTATGAGTCCTATGAAGTCGTCCCTTCTACCGTGCAATGCATCATGCATACTTGACTTAGGTAGTATACAAACTGTTATGTTTAAGGCTTTAAAATGCGTCGCCACTTTCCCTATTCTGGAAATTCCGCTCGATAATTTTGCAACCAGTCAACTAAACAGTCAACAATTTTAAATAGTAATTTATTTTAATTTAACACAGATGTCGTGTCCCCGAATGCGAACAAGAGAATCAAAAGATGGAAATACCCACATGGTGGCCAGAAGACATCGATCATAAGTGCTACAAACCCATACTAAACACCAAAAAAATGGCTCTGTTCAATGGAACTTGTTCCAATTCTTCCTTCAGTGGAGTAATAGAAGAGTGTCAGCATTGGATCTACGAAAACAACAATTCTATAGTAGCTGAGGTATGTATGTTGTTGTTGTTGTTGTAAGAGTGCGTGTAATGAGTTGCGTAAAATTTAAAAATCAGGTTTAAGTCGAATTAATTGGTAAAGATTTACCTTATTATGTCTGACAATCCAGCAGACATAGCGTCATTTGATTTGATTTCAAAACCGAGTAATATTCAAGAGTGTTTTGTAGAAATTTCTACGAAATATTTTGAATTCTTTGAGACTTTTTTTGTAAGGTGCCTTTTAAGTCATAAATGTTTTTCTCACCTTGAAGGTTGACTTAAGTATTATTAAATTAATGACTGAAAAACAAAACTTAGACACAAGCAAACTAGACTGTACAAAGTGGAAAGATTCGAATGGAGACTTCCCATTGAACGAAACTTAGAAGAGGTAGTAAATTAATATAAGACAAAGTTCTAGGATCCACAGTACGAGGTGAATTAAATGAGTGAGTAGGTCAGTCACCTGATGCAAATGTTACACTACAAAATCCATAAGAAGCTCTTTCATTCTTTTATCAATAAACAAGATTTATAAATGTAAGCCATAGGGGCTTGTTATAAGCATGATAAATATTTATTCGTCAAGATAACTAATAATATAAACTGTAATTAAGTAGGTAGTTCGCAGTATCTATTTGCATGGTTATTATAAGTATTATATTAGTAATAATGTTGTGATACTTTGACATTGAAATGTTGGTATTTATCAAATATTTGAATTGTGTAAGGTGGTAAAACCATTGTTATACTTACACACATAATACGGGCTCAACAACGGTGCTACTGAACAAATAAACTTTATAGACACTGTGGAACTGAGAACTAGTACTTATTCTTTTCAGAAAGAAATATATACAATATTATGTACATAATTATATCTTCTGATTTGTCCTTCTTCATAAGCATTAATATAGTATCCTAAGCTGTATTTCCTATACCTACTAAAAAAAAAACGAAAATACCAAATATTATTATGACCAAAACAAACAGGCATTTAAAATGCTTCGTAATTAAAATTATTATGATCATCAACTTTGATTCAAGTCTTCCTTCTTACATCATTGTTTATTAATGAATAATAATTAGAAGAAATCCTTTTTGGTACCCCACACTACGAGTTATTGATTGAATTAGGCTGTTAGTCAATTTTGGTGAACTGCCAGCTATGTGTCAATCGGATTAGCACATGCAATGTTGTTTTCCGTTGAAACGACAACGGGGAAAATGTCAAGTTTGCAGTTTTATTTATGACGTGTTTTAACCTAGGAGCTAATCAAAACAAGCAACTTTTTAAGTAACGAATACATCCGGTATCTCTATTGCTATTTCATTTAGGTAAACAAGTTAAACAACTTATTTGCAATTAGAATTATTTTATGTAGAGCTTCCAGTGATTTTAAAACAATGTATACGTAGACGCCTTACAGCTTATAACTTTACCAGACTTTATCATAGTAAGTTTTCTACAAGCACACACCAGCTACATTCGGACTGCTTCTGAGGTAAACTGAGAGAGGTCTGTGTTCCGCTGCGGACGTTGTTATGATGTCGATATGAATATTATAATTTTTGTTTCAGTTAAACTTGGCGTGCCAGCCGTGGAAGGTTAATTTAGTAGGAGGCATCCACAATGCAGGGATGATAGTATCCATGATATTCACTGGATTGATAGCTGACAAGTAAGGCAATATAACTCTTATACTCGTACCTTACCAATGTTAAACTCGCAACCGCCGGAACCTTCTACGGGCAATATTTTCAAACGTGTCATCATATCATACTTACTTCATTCATTGCTCATTTACAGGAACATCTGAAAAGTTATCAGTTTTAATTTGTACCTACGTGATTATACAAACCAGGAAATATAAAGACATACCCAAATATAAAGTCGTAAAAACTTAATTTAAGTATTTTTAAACGTGATAAGTTTTTTACAACTTTTACGTGAAAAAACGCTGCGGTACCTATGTGCATAAATAGATAAGTGCAAGATTTGAATGCTTGTTAAACTGCCCAAACAACATTTCTTAAACGAACTTGCCTTCCTAGAAAAATCTAATGGAATAACGAATAAATGAATTATTAAATATGTTGAAATTTACTCGTTGGCCTTGATCTCGACCAAATAACTTGGGCAAATATTCAAGTTCATTACAACTTTTACAACCCATATTCCGCTGTTTTGCGTTACGAAGTAAAGGTTATTCACCTTTGTGGTGATCCAATTTTTATCCCCTTTTGAGGTTGAAAACCTTTCTTTGCTTAAAATTAAAAATATGCATTGCACAGCAAACTGCTTTATCTTGAATACTTACATAAAAATCTTTACTCTTGGGCAGTGGTTTGCTTTAATAACTGTAAAACCTGCTACAAATCAAAAAAGCTCTTGCAAGGACCGAAAGCTTGGCGTCGTTTATGCACACGCAGGGTTTTACATCCGGCATCAATTTCATAACAACAAAAGCTAATTCATTTATTATGTTTTCGGCTTACTCACGTAATAATTTGACGAGAAACTCGACTAGTTTCAAGCCATGCTAGAGGCCCATATTCATGAGCAGCATTCCGCGACACGCGACTCGGCGACTGTCGCGCTGCTAATAAATAATTTAGAATGTCTCACGAAAGTTATAATAAAAAGCTAATTCCTTAACTGTGCTTGTTTCAGAATCGGAAGAAAACCAACCTTCATAGTTTGCGCCGTTGGTGCAAGTATTGGAGTTTTTAAAATATTCATGACCAACTATTATTGGTACCTGGCGTTAGAATTTTTAGAATCTGTTTTGGGATCTGGTCTTTACACAGTGGGAGTAGTCTTGTGTAAGTATCTTGTTATTATCATGATCATTTCATTTACACTTTTCTTTGTTTACCTTGTGTCTAATACCTCCTTCATAACTTTGTTTTTAGTAATCGAAGTAGGAGGAAGTTCCAAAAGAGTACTAGCAGGCATCATTTTTTCCTATGCCGTTTACATTGGTGAAATAGTATTCGCATTCCTAGCAATGAGCCTTCAATATTGGAAATGGTTGATACTGGTGGTCTATGCACCAATGTTGCTCTTTATTCTATACTTTCTCTGTCTAAGAGAAAGTACAAGATGGCAAATGATTCGCGGCAGACTGCAAGAAGCAAAAGAAACCTTAAAGATTATGGTAAGAACGAATAAAATCGATTTATCAGAGAAAGAAATAGAAGACGCAAGTGATGACCAAATGCGACTGATGTTCGATGTAGTAGAACAAAAAGAAAAGGAAGACATGAAAGTCATTATAGGGTCGAAAGAGATAATGACTCGTTTGTCAGTTTCGTCATTCTGCTTTTTCACTTCAAGTTTCCTGTACTATGGATCCCTAGTCCACGTAGTTCTGTTACCAGGAAATAAATATACCAATTTTATTCTATCTGCATTTACGGCGTTCCCAGGAGAAATGGTAGCTTATTACACGTTTAACAAGTATGGAAGAAGAATAACTTTGCAATGTGGTTATTTGCTTTCTGCAGTATTTCTTATTGCTCAGAATTACTGCCCATCTTGTAAGTACTTCTTTGCTCGTTACTTTTTACTAAAAAAATGTTTACCAAGATTTCATGATCAGGCCTTAAGTTAATTATTCGTCTTTTCAGCACTATCTTGGTTGAAGGTGATACTATTCTTGATCGGAAAACTTGGAGTCGTGATCTGTTTCACTGGAATTTACACCTACAGTCTGGAATTATTCCCTACCAGTGTCAGAGGGACTTTATTAGGCTGGGGGAACACAGCTGCCAGGATTGGGAGTATGTTAGCGCCTTTAACACCTTTATTGGTAAGGACATTAGAATTGTTCTCATTTTTTTTAAATGATTGCTCTTGAGCAACTTAGAAAAGTACTTAATCCTGCCCTTATCCAGAATAAATCAATTAAAATAATAAGAAAAATAAGAGACGTCATCGATAAAATAAAATCCTTAATTCAGCTGAGACGCACTTTACATTGAATTTAAATATTTAAATGAAGTCTATTTAAAGAGTTATTTGACCTGACTCACTGGCATACTCAATTCTATGCTAGCACATTTCAAACTATTTGATACATAGATATAATAATATGTAAATGCTAGGTACGACAAAAAATATATTGCAAACCTGCTTTGACGATTGTACCCAAAGCTTTAATGCGACTCATATGTAAACGGTTTTCAAACGCATAATTTAATACCTAGCTTATCATTTACGTAAATTTGTTGGTTATTTGCATACTATCTAATAACGTTCTTAAATTCTTTTACTTCGTCATACCGACGCATATCCAAAACTTGTACTTGTTTTGAATAACTTGACAGTACGTAGGAAAGTTTTTTAGTTGTTATTGTTAGGTATATAAACGCCTTATTATAGGTACATGTACTTACGTAAACGCCTTTTGTCTCCTTAACCTAAAGATAATTATTGCGTGTATGTTCTTCAGATTTCTAAGGTACCTTATTCAGTAAATCAGTTTCGGTTAAATGTTGTAAATAAGAAGTACCTTCTGTTTAAATTTGAATGGTGACACGTCATAGGCGATCTATTCTTTGCTTGGCTCAGACTGCCACGCGGCCTCGCGGCTTTATACGTGGGTATTCTCAATATTACTTTATTAGTTGGATCTGTTTTGAATTGAAAAACACCTAGATAATACCGATAATACTATTCGAAAGACAGAGAAAAAACGCAATAGCCATTCTACGTGTTCTATCGAGTTTTTAATATTCTTTTATTGGAATTTAACTCATATCTTTCGCCAAATTACAGATTACTGAAATACCAGCACTTCCATCGTTCCTGTTTTCATCATGTGCAGTGATGGCTGCGCTTCTGTTAACATTCACGCCGGAGACCAAAAACTTGCCTATGTTTGACACAGTTGCTCAAGTTGATTCCTACAAAACTTCACAGTTCAAAGAAGAAAACGTGGAAACAGTAACGGTGCCAAATATAATATCTACGAAATTATAAAAATAACGAATGGTACTTATTTAAACTATACGTAATGACAATGGTATTATAGCGAATAAGTATATCTGCTTAGTGATAATTTAATGATGTGATGTAAATGATGTAGACTAATTTACTCAATTAAAACTTAATAAATTAATGATAATGGAAAGTGTTTTAATACTGAAACATACATAACTATAAAGACTACGTTCCTTTAGATATATATAAAAGTATATTTTGTAGTGTACAATTATTAGTACTCAAATATAATAAAATAAGTTTCTAAAACAGATATTTTTGTTTCATTACGTTAGTTCTTATAAATAAGAGTACCAAATTTTTGTGTAGAGGTGATTTTAAAAGCTTACAATGTGGTAACAATCACATTTTATTTTAGCGTTTATTTTAGTTGAAAATCAGCGAAAGCTTATACATTTTACAGTTTACACACAAAAATGCAACTAGTGATCTCGCTATTGTATAAAGTTAAGCGTCGTTAATATTAACGCCATCTAGTGAGTGGAAGTGAAAGTGATATAAAAATGTATCCAATTTATCCAAACGTATTACTTATTTTCTAGTTTGGCAACTCTGCACATAAACAGGAAGTTCTTTTGACAGTACATACATACATAACCTTTCAATCTTCCGCTAATGCCTATTGGTATTACAGTTTTGCCAGTTTCAATTTGTTTATTTTTCCTCAAAACTTAATAGTTCCTCTAATTTTATATTGCAAGGGTAGTATAAGTAAGTACAATGGAAGGATTTGAGATAAGATTAACAAGCAGCAAAAAGGTAACTGATATTCAGCGTAATAATTTTTATTGAAATGTATTGTTATCGAAGTGGTTCTTTATTTCAATGGAGTAATGGTTATTTTTATAGGGTAAAGGACTCTTTGCAACGAAGAAATACGATCAGGGTGATGTTATTTTAGAAGAAGATCCTTTAGTATCGTGCCAGTTTGCTTGGAATGCGGCCTACAGATACTTAGCATGCGACTATTGCATGAGGTATGTTTTATTCAAATAAATAATAATTGTTTTTCTGGTTATATTGTTATTTTGTATAAATTAAGTTTAAAAATAATAGTTGATGTATATTCTATAGTACACAATGAAGTGCGCGCAAAATCACTAATCTTATCACAGAAAAAATATTGTCAAAAGTCGCGTGAATAAAACAAGAGCAAAATTTTACTGTATGTGTCCTGTTAACCTATTAACATTGAAAAATATTGCAATTACTTTATATCAACAATTTCAAATTACCACACATTGTGTAACTGTCAAGTCAATATTAGGTAGGTAATAAAAAGAGAAGACACTCCTCGGGTCAGTTTCAATTTTTTTTATTTGTAATTTAATTTGTATTCACTTTCCTTCATTTCTTTTTAATTTTACGTGTTTGTATTCATCACTACAAGCAATTAAGAACAACGGACATAACAAAAATTTATTTAAAAAATATTATATCACTTTCAGGCCGCTAGAAACTCCAGAACAGAATGTCAGGCGACTATCATGCAAACCTGACATAGTGCTTCCGCATTCTGATATATTTGAGCTAAACATTGAGAGTATAACAAACTGTGACCAATGTGGCGCCCTCTACTGCTCTGAGGGATGCAGACAGAAAGCTTATGTGACATACCATAGAATATTATGTCACAATCCAAGTGATGCCCAACACCCAATTGTTGTTCTTATGGAGACATGGAAGTAAGTTTTTTGTCATTTAGAAAAATATTCATCATCAACATCATCAGCAAATAAGTGCTCATTGAGCAATTTACTTACAAGGTAGCAGGTAGGTTTGAGCATTAATCACCGACATGCTCAAGGCAGATTGGTGATTTCAAATTTATTACACACTATAAGCGCAGGTTTTCTCACCATATTTTCCTTCACCATATGTCAGTGGTGTATTAATAATCTTAGAAAGTACTCTAGTATTTAAATATAACTCAGAAAAAGTCACACTGGTACTTACCAGATTTCGAAACTGCACTTTTATGCATGAGAAGCAGGCACTATAACTGCTGCAACTTTGATATAATTACATTATCTAACAATTTACTTATAGCTATAATAGCTAGCGATAGCTATTAAATGGATTTTTGCAGTTGTAGGCGGATTATTATGAAATTGGGTATTTAATTATTTGATGACCAGCGACCTTCCATGTTGATACTATTTAGTAGATGGTATAATACATTTAAAACTTCCTCTTTAATCACTCTACAAATTGGTTGCAGTTTTATTGTTTTATGCAGGGACAGAAAAGTGACGTTTTTATATTATGTTAATAATAATACCTACTTTTCTTTCAGACAAATGCATTATCCGCCAGAAACAACAAGTATAATGTTGTTAGTAAGAATATTAGCATACATACAACAGAGTTCAGACCCTTCGGCTGCAATAGCTAAAGTGAAGCAGTTCTGTCATCGCACTGAAAATGAGGATGCTGAGCTTGTACACAAATTGTTGGGAGAACAGTTCACGCATCAAATGAATACACTAAGAGAAATGACATCTCATGTTGTAAGCGGTGATGAAGTACAGGAGGTAAGTCTTATGAACATTTCATATTCATTTACATCTCATAATCAAAATTTTTGAATATTGTAGTTATATTTATAAAGCTGTTTTATAAGCGATATACGAATATCGCTTATAAACCGGGTTATTAATTCGTGGGAAAAAGCTCAGATTGCAATCGTGATATTATGTGATCTTTCGAAGGCTTTTGACTTTGTTGAGCATAGGACACTATTACTGAAGCTAGTAAACTACGGCATTCGGGTGGTATCTCTAGATCTAATGAAGTCATACCTGCAAGAAAGACAACTTAAAGTAGAAGTAAACTCACATGGTGCTAGCATTTCGTAGCGGGCGTACCGCAGGGCTCAATATTAGGTCCTTTCCTATTTTTGGTTAATTAAGCAAATAGGTAGGGAACCCAACTTGAGACTGTCTAAAGATGTTGTTTCGAATTCTTTGGCTAAACGTTAGTGTTACACTGTTCTCACATAATAGAACTGACTAAATTATGTAACAAAGAAATTAATTGTAAAACTGATTGGAAAAGAGTAACCATAGAGTCTCTAGCTGGCATAGGAATCTACACTTTTATAACAAGCAAATTGCTTCACTAGAGGATAGACAGACAGACAGCCTATAAATGTACACATATTAAATATATTTTTTTTATTTGAGGGTCAAAACTGCCTGTTTTCGTCTATTTGAAATAAATTATTTGAGTATGGGTTATATATATAAAAAGACATGATATATCTAATACATTTTACATTATAAGTTTTTCCCTAAACAATTAGGCCTCGTTTACATTGGAGCAACGCGTTCCGTCGAAGAAGCGGTTCTCCGCCGTACATTGCTCCTAATTTAATGATGTACTGATTGTCTCTGTAAATGAGGTCTTAAAATAGTTAGAGTGACACCTGTGACTAATGCAGTCTAAATATTATAGTTATTATCATTATAATATTATACATAGTTAAAAGTTTGTTTTATTTAATATCAGCTTAGCAGCATAGCATAGTGGACGAAAAGTATGTTATTTGAGATTATAAATATACTACTATACTCTGTGCCAATTATCATTGAATTCCATTCTTGTATGTGAAAGAGTAACAAACATCCCTCCATCCATATTTAATCGCGTTTATAATATTAGTAAGATTTAAATATGTTTATATTATTTGGTGTTAAAAAAAAAATGATTTATTACATCACATTTTGTTATCTTCAGTTATATTACATGATCATCTAAGTTATTCATCATAAAATATACAATATCATTTTGCATCTTGCAACTGTTAGTAGTGACAAAACAAAAAATCTCAAAGTTACCAAATATCCAGTTTCGTTATGTTCAAGCAAATATCATTAGCCAATTAAAATATTAGTTGTAATGAGGAAATTCGGTGCACATAAAGACGAATTTCCTAAAATATGATTGCTCAAGCATACAACTAATCCATTTATAAGATCTTAATTTTAATGTTAGTACGAAAATATTGATTTTGAGCTAAAATTCTTCAAACCTAGACAGAACATATCTAGAAACCATTCAAGGATGAAGATTAAATATTGAATGGGTAAATAAAATAGTATAAGTAGATAAATGGCATAAGTTGTGTGTTTATGTATATGGGATATTTGCTAGGTTATACATGTTTTGACAATGAGCCACTTACTAGTAGAGTATTCATAAATTATTATAACAGTAAAATAATAGATTTCTTTGCATAACCCCGTTGTTCTGTTGTTTTGTGCTTGTTTTTGGATCATGAGTCACACTCAGTCTAAACTCATTTTTGTATTTATTTGAACAGACATTTTCGTATTAGGATTTAATTTGTTTTGCCAATAGATTTTCAACTTTATTCCGGATGCAATAGAATTGATAATGTAAAGTTATATAATTAGCGACCCAAAATGTAATTAGAAAACAATAAACCCTATAGGGCTGATGTTCAGCGGGGTTGCTAGTGCAATTACAATTTTATACGGCGGCCCCGGCCTGGAGCAGCAGAAGGAATGGGTGGTTCTTAGTCAGTAATAGTCTTGTAACTGACTAAAAAGTAGAAACTGACAATAGCAATAAACAATCGTCCTGGGTGGGGAGACATTCTTCCCTTACTGGGCGAGAATAATGTTTTCACAAAATAATGTTTTCAAAAAACTCAAAATGAATGTTTTACGGATACAGTTATACAGTATTGTTAGTTACTATTTATACTATAATTTTTAATCACTGTCTTAATTAATTGTTAATATTAGACAATCACTGTTTAATCAATTTTACATTACTCCCTTTCCAGTTTTTGACACCAGAAGGATTTTGCACTCTAATGGCGTTAGTTGGAACAAATGGGCAAGGCATTGGTACGAGTCCCTTGGCTATGTGGGTTAATTCTGTGTTGGAAATAACCATGTCTGATGATGAGAGGCAACAGTTGGATCTGTTTATTGATAAACTTTATCAGTATGTAGAAGAAGGTATGTGAAATATATTATAT